ACTGGAGTTCAGAAGAATGAGGGGGATCTGATTGAAGTATATAAAATGCTAAAGGGGATTGATAATTGGGACATTGAACATATATACCCACTTGTGGTACAGTCTTGAACAAGAGGTCATAGATATAGAGTGCAAGGAGGTAGGTTTAAAACTGAGATGAGGAGAAACTACTTCTCTCAGAGGGTTGTGAATCTGTGGAACTCACTGCCCCAGAGTGCAGAGGAGGCAGAATCAATCAACAGATTCAAGAAAGCAATTGATATGTTTCTGATGAAAAGTGGGATGAAGGGCAATGGAGAGCAAGTAGGAAAGTGGACGGCACAACGATAAGATCAGCCATGATCATGTTAATTGCCAGAGTGTGCTCAAACAGCCGAATTGCCTGCACCTGCTCCTAATTCCTACGTTCCTATGATCCTTCTTCAGAACGACAGTTCTTCAGAAATCAGTCCTGAAGAAGGGTCACTGGACGCAAAACATTAGCTTTGACTTCTCTCCACAGATGCTGCCAGACCTGCTGAGTTATAGAGTCATAGAGTCGTACAGCACAGGAGCAGACTCTTCAGTCCAACTTGTCCACACTGACCAGACATTCCAATCTGACCTAGTCCCATTTGTTAACATTTGGCCTGTATCCCTCTAAACTCTTCCTATTCATGTATCCATCCAGATGCCTTGTAAATGTTGTAATTGTACCAGCCTCCACCACTTCTTCTGGCAGCTCGTTCCATACACACACCACCCTCTGCATGAAAATGTTATCCATAGGTTCTTCTTGAATCTTCCACCTCTCATCTTAAACCCATGCCCTCTAGTTTTGGATTCACCCACCCTAGGAAATAAATGTTGACTATTCACCCCATCCATGCCCCTCATGATTTTATAAACATCTGTAAGGTCACCCCCTCAGCCTCTGATGCTCCAGGGAAAAAAAAGCCCCTGCCTATCCAGCCTCTCCCTGTAACTCAAACCCTCCAGACCAAGCAACATCCTTGTAAGTCTTTTCTGCACTCTCTCAAGTCTAATGCCATCCTTCTCACAGAAGTGCAATATTCCAAAAGTGGCCTCACCAATGTCCTGTACAGCCACAACATGGCACCCCAACTCCTATACTCTTTTTCCAGCAATTTCTGTTTTTGTCTCTTATTCTTAAACATTGACTCCTTGTTCACAAATCTCCCACAAGACAAAACATTTTTTCCACATCCACCTTGAGGATCTTGTACATTTCAATAAGGTCATAGAGTCATGCAGCATGGAAACAGACCCTTTGGTCCAACCAGTCCATAATCCCAAACTAAACTAGTCCCACCTGCCTGCTCCTGGCCCCTGTTCTTCCAAACCTTTCCTATTTCTGTACTTAAGCAAGTGTCTTCAGGGTCAGTGAACCTAGCATGTTTTTCCTTATTTAACATATTTTTCTAATCAGCCTGTTCATAGATGTTATTACACACCTCTGCAGCAGGTGGGACTTGAACCCAGGTTTCCCAGTCTAGGGGTGGAGACCCTACCACTGTTCCACAAAAGGAGCTCTGCATCTGACTCTTACGAACACAGTTTGAATATTTGCAGGTGAAGAGCACTAATTGAGGTTTCATTTTCAGCATTCAAGGAGAAATCTAGTGTGCAGTGTAGTGCCCCTACCTCTGATCCAGGAGACTCGGGTTCAAGTCCCATCTGCTCTACAGATGTGTGATAACATCTCTGAACAGGTTGGATTAGAAAATATCCAGTGGCATGCTGGTATTTTCCCTTTGTCTGAGCCAGGAGAGTCATGTCTTACTCCAGTGGATACAAGCCTAGTCAGTCCAACATTTCCTCATAAGACAACTCTCCTATTCCAAATATAAGTCTGGATAAAACTTCTCTGAATTGCTGCCAACATATTTACATCTTTCCCTACATAAGGAGACCAATACCATACACAATACTCTGCTTTGAATACTTTAGAGGGTGATAGTTCTCAGAGCAATGCAGTCAGAGCCATATAATGGCACAATGAACAATTCAACTGTACAGGAGGAGAGGAAGAAGATTGAAAGAGCAGTATTGATAAGGGATTCTGTAATTAGGGAATAGACAGACATTACTACAGCCATATATGTGACTCCAGGATGGTGTGTCACCTCCCTGATATCATGGTCAAAATGTCACAGAACAGCTGCAGGTGATTCTTCAGGGGGGCGGTGAACAATCAGAAATCATGGTGGATGTGAGTATGAACGACTTAGGTAGGAAGGTACATGAAAATGAAGTCCTAAAAGCAGATTTCAGGGATATTGGAAAGATACTGAAAATCAGGACTTCCAAAGCAGTAATTTCAGGATTTCTCCCAGTCCCACATGCACATGAGCAAAGCAACAGAGATCTGAGTATTTTGGCTAGAAAAATTATATAGGACGGAGGGCATCAGATTTCTGAGGCATTGTGACTGTCTCTGGGGTGAGTGGGACCTATACAAGATCAGCAAATCACATCTGGGAAGGATAGAGACCAACATTCTTTTAGGGAGATTTGCTAATGTGTTGGGAAGTGTTTATAGTAGATTGGCAGTCTGATTGGGAACCTCAGAGGGAGCTCAAGCAAGCAAAACTGGAAAAAGGAAAGAGTGTAACAAGCAAAAATACAAGACAGACAAAACAGTGGAAAGATCAAATAGGATAAAAATTAAGAATAATGTTTTAAAAAAGCTGAGATTATTAAACATAGCATTTGGTAAAACGCTGCTGATTTGAATCCACACCTTAAAGTAATTGGATATGATTTAATTGTCATTACAAAGACGAGGCTGCAAGATGACTGAGATTGGGAACTGAAAATTCAAGGATTTTGCACATTTAAGAGGGATGGGCAAGAGGAAAATGGAGGTGTGGTAGCACTCCTAATAAGGAATGACAACAATACATTAGTAAGAGAATTTTGGTCAAAGAATCAAGATGTAGATTCAATTTAGGGGAAACTAAGAAACAGCAAGGGAAAGTAAGTGTTAGTGAGAGTTTATTTTTTATGTAACACCAAATTGCAGTGCTGATGATGGGCAAGTAATGAATCAAGAAATTAGAGATGCATGTAATGTAATCCACTAATAATGGGCAAATTGAATTTGCATATAGATTGGGTTAACCAAGTCAGCATTAATGCTATGGACAATGAATTCCTGCAGTACTATATATGAGGTGGATTTTTGGAACAGTATGCTGAGTGGTCAACTAGAGATCACATTATGTTTTCAATTTGGTGTAAAGAGAAAAGACTCATTAATAAAGTTGCCATAAAAGAGCTTTTGGAAAATAGTGAACATGATATGAAAGAATTTTGTATTAAGTTTGAACATAACATATTTCATTCCAAAACTAACTACATAAATCTGAGCAAAGGAAACTATGAGAGCATGAGGGGCAAGTTGGCAATGGTGAATTGGAAAATACACTAAAAGATTTGATGGTAGACATGCAATGTATTTAAAGAAATAATATAAGGCTACAACAGACATACATTCCTCCAAGGTACAAACATCAAAGAAAAAGGTAACTCAAGGATGGTTAATGAAAGAAGTTAAAGCTGAATTTTATCAAAGGAATAAGATTGTAAGAATGCCAAAAATAATGGCAAGCCTGAGGATTGAGAATAATTTACGACACAGCAGAGGAGGTCCAAGAACTGTTACGAAAAGTGAAAAGAAAACATGAATGCACGCTAGCAAGAAATATAAAGGAGGACTGTAAAAACACTTTTATCAATATGTGGAAAGAAAAAGATTAGCAAGTATAAATGTGACCCACTACAGGAGGGGGACAGGAAAATTTATTGTGGAGACCAGGGCGATGGCAGAGAAGGTAAAGTTACTTTGTATCTGTATTCACTAAAAAAGATAGAAACTTGCTGATGACAGTGATTACCACTCATTTATTTTGACAGGTTTTTTTTCGGAGGGTGATGATGCCATCCTGTGGTCCACCTCTGACAATGCCGAAAGCATCCCCAAAGCTTCCTCCTAGAATTGACTGATAGGGCCCCAGATTTCTGGATGTGTAGCAAATGTTCTAATTCTAAATCCTCCTTGGATTAAAAAAAGGCTAAGAATTTTTTTTATCCTTCACATTTACTTCGGTATCGTCTTTAATTAATTTATTATTTAAAGCTAAGTATTCAAAACAGCCTGCGAGATGCTATAGACCCATAAAAATGTCCTCTATTGATTTTCCTAAATATCCAAATCTTACCCTTGCTATAATTAAGTTTATTTTTGTGTTAAAGTACACATTGAAGACTTTTATCAATACATGGGTCTGGCTGTGTCCGAGGGCGCAGCAGCGACATCTCCCGATGTTCACCCTCCAGTTGTTTACCGCCCTCGGCGGCTCGTTGTCATGGCATCGACTTCCAACCAATAACAACCCGCTTTAGTGCAGCGTGTTCACTGAAGCAGCCAATGATCTGGAGCTTCCCCGGCACTAAGCAACGGCCGGAAGCTGGACCTGGGAGACAATAACGGAGTAAGGGGGAGAGTTAGAGAGATAGACAGTGAAGAAGAGTGGGAGAGAGATAGTGAGGGGGAGAGAGATAGGGAAGGATAGACAGACAGACAGACAGACAGAGAGGGAGAGATAGACAGACAGACAGACAGACAGACAGACAGTGAGGAAGAGTGAGCGAGGTAGTGGGGTGGAGACAGGGGGAGAGAAGGAAGGAAGGAAGGAGAGCGAGAGAAAGAAGTAGATAGACAGACGATGAGGAAGACAGAGAGAGGGAGAGAGACAGAGATAGTGAGAAAGAGAGATAAACAGTGAGGAAGAGAGAGAGCGGGAGGAAGAGAGAGAGATATAGACAGTGAGGAAGAGTGAGAGGGAGAGATAGACTGTGAGGAAGAGTGAGGGAGAGAGAGAGATAGACAGTGAGGAAAAGTGTGAGAGAGGGAGGGAGTGAGTGCGAGCAGGAGGGAGGGAGTAAGAGAGGGAGGAAGAGAGAGAGGTTGGAAGGCAGTGAGAGCAGGAGGGAGGAAGAAAGAGAGATAGGGAAAGAGTGAGAGAGGAAGGAAGAGAGAGATATAGGGAGGGAGTGAGAGCGAGGGAGTGAGATAGTGAGGGACACTGAGGGCGAAATATAGTGAGGGAATGTGATAGCGAAGGAAAGAGACAGTTAGGGAATGTGACCTAGTCAGGGAGATAGTGGAGAAAGGAAGTCCAAGCATGGAATGAGGAAGAAAGAGTAAGATCGTGAGGGAACGTGAGAAGGAGGGACATAGTGTTTGAGGCAGTGTGATCCAGACAGGGAATGAAGAACAAAGTGTAAAAAGGAAGGAGATAGAAAAAGAGAGAACAGTGAAGCTGAGACTGCTGAGTGGCCCTTTCCATTCTTTGGCCATTAACCCTGGTCCAAGACAAGCCTTGGTCAGGACAAGGGGTGGAGATGGACAATGCAGACTCTCTGTCTCTCAGGTGAGTCCGTCAGCAGCAGCTGCAAGGAAACTTGTTTGCAGTTTCTACACAAAAATAGATTATCAAAGAATGCAAAATATTGAAGCAAGACCTGCATAATAATGCAACATTTGACTCATTGAGCTGGAATCTATCATATGTGTGCTATTTCTCATGTTGTAATTGAACTATGTGCCGCCTCTCTCTCTTTTTGCCTTTTCCCATGCAATTAAAATTAAGTACTAAGTTCCAGGGGTATTCATGCAACATCAGTCCCTTCCCTCTATAAAACTTTCTGCCCTCAACACCATCCTGTGTCATACCCTGGATCATCCTTTCAACCGCAATACCTCCAAATCCCAACCACAATCCCAACCCCTCACCACTTTTTCACACTTGCTGATTGTACCTAATAAGGTTTGAAGAAATACCTAATGGAACAAGGGAAAAGAAGATGGATATATTAATTAAGGATGAATTGGGTGTGAATTGATTGTATGAATACAGGGAGCTAGTGGGCTCTTGTCATACAGGACTAATGTCCAAACCTTGTGAGCTGGGCCTCTGTAAGAGGACTGGGTTCAAGTCCCACCTGTTCCAGAGGTGTGTATCAGTATCTCTGACCAGGTTGATGAAAAGTTATTTAAGAGGAGTTATTATTCAGTGGCGTGTGAGTTTTAAAGTGTGGCAAACTGAAATAAATCTCATGAAAAGTGTGGTTTTGGACTGTTAAAGTACAGTGTATGTTTGGAGCATAAGTGTAGTTGAGTCATATTGTAAGGTTTTGTGGTCCGATTACCTATTCTGTTTTCTAAAGAAGAGCGTTACGACCAATGGAAGAATGAGGTTACAAAGAGAAAATAAATTAAGGCTTTACCTCTTCTATTTAGAAGCAGGATAAGAACCAAGCTTTTTTTATTCAGAATTAGAGTCTTATGGTTTGAAATGGATGAAGTTTGGACAGATTGTTAAATTTCATGGATAAAATTTATGAAAAAAATGATTCATTGGCTGATTCTGAGGCTTGATCAGATTTTGACAAATCTAGGAAGACTGATGTACTCGAAGAGTACATAATGGAATTTAATAGATTCTTTGAAAACCTGCCGCAATTTGTTTTGAGAATTCCTCATTCTGTGGAATTTAAGTTATTGGACTGTGAGAAAGTATCAAGTATGGACAGACTTCTAGTTTTTGATGGGAGTTAAATTTGCATATAAACATATACTGCAAATGACAGAAAATAGAGGATATAATATTAACAAATTGGAGACAGTCTAAATACAGGTCACAGGTGACAATATGAAAGGAGAACTGTACCTAATAGAAATGAGGATAGAAATGCAATTGATAATTTTGAGAAGCAAGGGAATTTTGAATTTACAATAAGCAAACAAACCCCAGAAACGCTCAAGTTGTAGTCCATTGATGTTTCACTTGTGATTCAAAGTACCATTATGCCATGAATTGCCACTAAGGATATAATAAAGTATTCAAAAAGAAGGTCCAGAAAAACAAGATAGAGATACAGATCAAAGAGACGGCAATGTATTGGTCACAAGAAGTTTCAGCCCAGTGATAAATACATTGGTGGCAGAGTCTTTCAGTTGTGCAATATTAGACAGAATGTAGGAGTAAATTACTGACAATAAAAAATGCTGGAAATCACAGTGGTCAGGTAGCATCCATGGAGAGAGAGACCAAGCTAACGTTTCGAATCTAGATGACTCTTTATCAGAGCTGACGTGAAGTATGGAGGGGGCAGCATTTATGCAATGGTGAGGGTGTGGGTTTTTGGGGGAGAAAGGGTGTTGATAGTGCAGATTAAGTGGTCAGAATATGAGAATGGCAGAACAATGCTGTATCTAACTGCCAAACTGGAAAAAACAAACTACCACTGGAGTGGGGGCAGGGGAGAGAGGACATGGTGACAGAAAATGTAACAAGTAAAGCTAAAAGAAAGGGAAGGAATGGGAGTGCGTTCACAATCTGAAGATGTTGAACTCAATACTAAGTCCAGAAGGTTATAAAGTGCCTAGTCTGAAAATGAGATGTTGCTCTTCCAGTTCGGGCTGTGATTCACTGCAACACTGCAGTATGCTGAGGACAGACAAATAAGCATGTGAGCAGAATCCTGTGTTAAAATGATCAGCTTTGGGAAGGTTGGTGTCCTGCTTGTACACAGACTGCAGGTGTTCTGCAAAGCGGTCAGCCAGTCTGCGTTTGGTTTCTCCAATGTAGAGTGGGTCATATTAGGTGCAGTGAATGCAAAACACCAGATTAGAGGAGGTACAGGTGAAATACTACTTCACCTGGGAAGATTGTTTTGGCCCTTGGATGGTGAGCAGGGAGGAAGTGAAGGAGCAGGTGTTGCACCTTTTGTGGTTACATGGGAGGGTGCCATGGGAAAGGATCATGGTGTTGGTGCTCAAGGAATGGACTGGGGTGTTCTGGAGGGAATGGTCCCTGCAAAATGCAGATGGGGTAGTGAGGGAAAAATGTGCTTGGTGCTGACATTCTGCTGGAGTTGTCTGAAATGGCAGAGAATGATCCTTTGCATGCAGAGGCTGGTGGGATGAAAAGTGAGGACAAGGGGGACCCGATCACACTGTTGTGAGTGATGGGAAAGGGCAGGGGCAGAAGCACGGGTGATAGGTCAGATGCAGTTGAGGGCCCTATCAACCACAGTGGGTGGGAAACCACGGTTATGGAAGAAGGAAGCCCCACATCAGCAGTGCTGTTTTGGAAGGTGTCATCGTCCAAACATACAGTGTAGGCAAAGAAACTAGGAGAATGGGATGAAACCCTTGCAAGATAAAAAGGCAGGCATAACTTGGACGCATGTGGGTGCCCATAGCCACTCGTTTGACTTGGCAAAAGTAAGATGAATTGAAGGAGAAATTGTTCAGTGAGAGAACAGGTTCAGCCAAGCAGAGGAGAATGGTGGTGGATGGGGATAGTTCGGGCCTCTGGTCAAGGAAGAAGCCGAGAGCTCTCAGACCATCCTGATGGAGAATGGAGGTATAGAGGGATTAGATACCCATGGTGAAGACATGGCAATTGGGGCCAGGGAACTGGAACAAAAACAAAGTTGCTGGAAAAGCTCAGCAGGTCTGGCAGCATCTGTGAAGGAAAAAACAGAGTTAACATTTCTGGTCCAGTGACCCTTCCTCAGAACTGGAAATTGTCAATATGGCAGAAGGTATCAGAGGATTCACAGATGTAAGTGGGCAGGGTTTGGACAAGGGGAGAGAGGATAGAGTCAAGGTGGGAGGAAATGAGCTTAGTGGGGCAGGAACAGGCCGACATGATGGGCCTACCAGGACAGTCTTGTTTTTGGATTTTGGGAAGGAGGTAAAAGCAGGGTGTCCAGGGTTGGGAGACTATAATGTTAGAAGCAGTGAGGAAAAGATCTCCAGAGGTAATGAGGTCGGCGACAGTCCTGGCAACAATGGCTTGATGTTCGGATGTAGGGTTATAGTCCGGGGGAGGTAGGAAAAGGTGTCTGAGACTTGGTATTGAGCCTATGCAAGGCAAAGATCAGTGTGCTGGACTGCAATGGCACCACCCTTGTTGGCGGGTTTGATGACAAAGTTAGGGTTGGATCTGAGAGGGTGAATTGCAGCAATTTCAGAAGGAGATAGGTTAGGGTGGGGGAGAGAAGCAGAGAAATTGAGATGGCCAATGTCACCTTCACAGTTTTCAATGAAGAAATCAAGGTCTGGTATGAAGCCAGAGGAAGGAGTCCAAGTGGAGGGTAAATACTGGAGGTGGGTGAAAGGATCAGTGGAACAGGGCGAGGGGATGGGGTGTGTCCTGTCTGAAGCAGTGAGCATGGAGATGGAGGCAGCAGAAAAAAAAAATGCAACGTCATTATGAGCCCAAAATTCACTAAGGTGGGGGCATAAGGGTATGAAGCTGAGTCCTTTGCTGAGGACAGTATCCTCAGCCTCAGGGAGGGGTAGGTCAGGAGGTATGGTGAAAACACAGCAAGGGCTGGGTTTGGGGAAGTGACCTCTGGGGGACAGAAAGGAAAAGCATCTGAGGGCTGGGAAGAGGTGGTTGCTAAGGGACGGTGAGGGATTGGCTCTGAGCAAAGGGTGGGAACGGTGTCCGAGAGGGAGATCAGGGAGGGCAATGCAGGATGGGTGTTGGAGTCCATAAGTTGCTGAAGCTTGCGTGCCTTGATTCCTGAAAGAAAGAGAAAAAGTCTTTTGTTGAGGCGACGGATGAGACGAAAGATGAAGTGAAACTGGGGAACGGCACAGCTTTGAGAGAGGGTGAGTCGATGTTGCTGCAGAGTGGTGTCAAGTGTGCACATCTGATGGCGCATGGCACTGATCGTGGATGCATGTGGAATAGACTGACTAAAATGCTATGTGGACTCTCTGAGTAATAACAATTGGAACAAATTTAAGAGATTTGATAGTTCCACTAGTTTCGGATTTGGAGATAATTACACACTGAATTCTTGAAAAAGAGTGTCATGCTTTGTAGAATAGCTGGAACCAATCATTTTATTAACACAGGTCGTGAACAGCTGAATACCATTGTTATTAAGTAGGCCATCGATAAAGAAAGCACAAATGAGATGAGATATGAAGAACAAAAGGCTATTATATTTGGAAAATCTGAGAATTTGTCATTTATACGATATTATAGTCTTGTAATGGAACATAACCTCTCCATTAAGGAAATTAAGGAAGTATTATTGACAGCACAGGTAAAAATTTTTAAACATGTGTTAAATTTACATAGGCAATTTGCTCATCTGTCCTCTGAAATATTACAAATTTTAGGAAAGGATATTGGAATAAGAAATGGAAAATATGATAAGTTCATAGAAAAGACAAGTGACAGATGTCAGATTTGTGAGAAATATTGAAGGACACCATCACAGCCTGTGTTAATAGCAAGAGATTTCAATTAATTTGTTGCCATTTTTAGGTAAAAAAAAATGATTTTGTAAATTTGGCAATCTACAATAATATCTAGTAAAGATATAAAAAGACATATGGATAAGCTAATAGAAAATTGGCTAGGGAACAGATTTGGACCATCCGCAAAATTTCCCAGTGATAATGGGTGTCATGTGATTTTTGACTTTGTCCAACCCAGTCCAACACCAGCACCTCCAGATCATGACCACAGAGGAAATGTACCGTTTGCTAAAGTTCTTGAGAAGTGCCTGGGAATGTTTTTATTACATTAAGGCACATTCTCATTGGTTATGGTGGAGCGCAAGTGAGGGATAACTAAATATTTAGTCAGACTGGCAGCAGGTCGGTTCATTTTGGCTTTTTATTTCCTTCAGGTGGGTGAAAGGTTACACAACACGAAAGGTGCTTTTTGTGAACAATAACACAATATGCTACGTGTGTGGGAACTTTTTGGTCTTCATGGACGTAGACACTCGGCAGGAGAAGGTGCTGCAATGTGAGACTGGGAGTATTGGAGTTTTCACGACCAACAGTGCCAAAAGTATTGTTGCCTTTGCAGAGCAGCGGTTAAAGCCATTCATAAATCTGTACAGCTTTCCTGAACTGACCAAGACTTCTGTCCTCAAGGGTATGTGCTGTTACTCCTCAAAATCAAGGATTCAACACATGTTCTTGATATAAATGTATTAAGCTCCATGTGCTTTTGTGATGTTACACCACAATTACAGTGATAGAATGCATGGCAGCAGAAACAATCAAACTGTGTAAACTTTACTGGCTTTGAAGGATTTTCAAGCCATCAGTCTGCAGCACATTCTACTGTCCCCACTACTGTACATATTCTATGATAATACTGAGTTTCAATCCTGTTTTGTTTCAACTTTACTTCATTTCCTTTTCACGTCCCTTTATCATTTGCTAGCAAAGGTTTTGTTTACACTAAATTTAACTTGTACTATGCCTGTTAATATGCCTCATAGGGACAGCACATTGGAAATGAAGCCCTACTATTCCCAGAGCCATCACAAAAGTAATAAGTAAGAAGAAATCCCTGTTTACCTATCTTTTAAACCCAGGTTGACAGAAAACATGGATCAGATTTCTGTACTTAATGATAATTACTACCTATTACAAATAAATAGATTCTAACTACAGATAAACAATACTGAACCATTGATATATAACTTTACTAGTTAAAACTTTAAACTTGTAAAACTCTCCCTCTACATGCAAATACAGACAGACACAAAAAGAAAAGGTGTTATGGGTGGGAAGGCAGTTCATTATAAATCACCTGGTTTGCTAAGGTGATTGTTTTTTCTGATCAGAACACTACTTCTTGATCTACCTTTTCAGTACTTTCATGTTTTTCTCAGGAGGCACAGGTTAACTGGTTCACACTCATAAAAATCACTGATTTATTAATTACAAGTCACAATTTACAGCAACTGATGAGGGGAAATAAACTAGCTATTTACAGGCTTGCGACACGTGTAACTGCCGAGCTGAAACAGCTTCTTTCCTTGCAGAGGTCTGACGGCTTCTGATCTGAACATTCATACCTCCAAGCTGTTTAATTATCTGGGAGCCAATCACATAGTTGTTGACAGTAGGAAGTCTTTGTCATCAATGACTGGTCATAAATCCAGAGACCAATTGGCCATTTGTTGCTAGCTGAAGCTCCATTCATACACAATCCCCTAGCTTCAGCCTGTCTGCAATGAAACTTTCTGCATTGCTTAAACCAACAGCTACGTAAAAAGCACTTACAATGAGTGTCAGGTAACTTGCTTTAATAAGTGCTACAATCATTCAAGAAGCCTTGGCTCTTTAACCAGTTCTTTTTCCATTTCAGACTGCAATCAAAATATAGATAAATAACAACTTGTTATTTTTGGACTGTCCTGGGAGTGTTTGATGGGGACAGTGTAGGAGTGCTTTACTCTATGTAACCTCGTGTATTACCTGTCCTGGGAATGTTAGATGGAATGGTGTACAGGGACTTTTACTCTGTATCTAACTCTGTGATGTACCTGTTCTGGGAGTGTTTCATAGGGACTGTGTAGAAGGATCTTTACTCTGTACCTAACCCCATGCTGTACCAGTCCTGGGAGTGTTTGATGGGGACAGCGTAAGGCTATAAGATGTAGGAGTAGAAGCAGACCATTCAGCCGAATGAATCTGCCCTGCAATTAATTAGATGATGGCTGACCTGATAATTCTCAACTCCAGTTTCTTCCCTTGCCCTCATAACCCTTGATCCCTTATTGAAAAATGCCACAGAATTCCAGTTGTGATCTGATTAGTGCCTTATATAGTTTTAGCAAAACCTCCCTACCTTTATACTCCATTTCCTTTGAAATAAAGGACAACATTCCATTTGCCTCTTCTATTACCCGTTGAAATCGGATACTAGCTTTCTGTGATTCATGATTGAGGACTCCCAAATCACTCTGTTCCATAGCTTTCTGTGGTGCTTATCTATTTAAATAAGGTTCATCTCATCTATTCTTCCTTCCAAAGTGCATAACCTCACGTTTTTTCTGCATTATATTCCATCTGCTGAGTTTTTATCCACTCACTAAATCTGTCCATCTCCCTCTGCAGACTCTTTGTGTTATGATCACCACTTGACTTCTCATCGATTTTTGTGTCATCTGCAAACTTGGCTATACTGTGGTACATGTAAGGGGAGATTTAGTCTGTATTTAACTCCATGCAGTATCTACCCTTTCCATGTTTGCTGCTGTTTTTTGATGTACAATTGGTGTTATATTCTTAATTTCTAACATTCTTAAAGTTGATGAGCGTGAATGTCACAAAAACAGGAGGCTTTCATGATGATAGTTGGTGCTTTGTTTTTCAGATGGGGCTGAGTTAGAGTATACGCTTCTGGAGTTCAGCTACTCAGACTTCTACTTTGCTACCTTCTCCTCGCTCCCAGAATTCAATCTAACCATCTGGTAAATTTCCTGTTACAGATATTGAATTTTATTGCACAATACCATGAGAATGTGGTCCAGGTTATCACAGAGAGTATAGTCAAGGCACGTAGCATAGATGTTTTGAAGGAAAACTAGATGAGCACATGTGGGGCAAAAAGAACAGATTAATTTGCTGACAGTGGTCTTGCATGGATCTAATGAATCATAGAATGTCCAGCACCAAAATAATCTTCATAATTACACTTACTGCTCTAGAGCATTTCCTAGTATAGTAAAGTCAGGTGTGCACTGTTGTAAATGTACATTAATAGGCTTTATTAAACATAACTGCATACATAGAATGATCAGAGAGGACACAATTTAGAACCTAAAGATGGCATTGAGGGAACTTCAACCTGTATGTATCCCCATGTTGTACCTGCCCTGGGAGAGTTTACGGTCAGTGCAGATGAAGTGGAGACGGCATAAACTGATAGCCAAGTTCCATACCCATGAAGATGGCCTCAGCCGCGATCTTGGGTTCATGTCGCACCACATGTAAGCCCATCATACTGTTCTGTGCTTGTAAAATCTTCCTTACTGTTCAGTTTTGACACCATCACCTTGATAACTTGTTATGATCTCTCTACCTTTAATTAGTTTGTACAATTTTGAATTACTTGTTACCCTCATCATGCAACTCTTATAGCTATCATGTTGTTCCAGCCAATGGTTTGTCTCTGGCACCATCTTATTTTTGATTTTTTGTAATTATCTCTCTGCCTTAATTAATCAATCATAGGCCATCCCTTCACTTACTATTCAGCTATTGACACTTTACTCACACCGTTTGACACTTTTGAACATCCACAAAGACTTGTTTCTCAGCCTGTTGACACTCCACTCGCATCATTTGTACTATCTTTTGATGCTCTTAATTACCTTGAATTATCTTGTAATGATCTCTCTGCCAATAAATTCTGTGCCTGTGTGTTTCCCTCCACTTCACCTGATGAAGGAGCAGCAGTCCGAAAGCTTGTGATTTCAAATAAATCTGTTGGACTATAATCTGGTGTCCTGTGACTTCTGACTCAGTGCAGATGAAGATTTACTCTGGATCTAACCCTGTGCTGTCCCTGTTCTGGGAGTGTTTGATGTGGACAGTCGAGAATGAGCTTTACTCTGAATCTAATCCCATGCTATACCTACCCATGGAAATGTTTGATGGGGATTATGTAGAGGTAAATTTACTCTGTATCTAAACATCTGCTCTGTCTGCCCTGGAGTATTTGATGGGGTCAATGTAGAGGGAACTTTATTTCTAACCATGTGCTATACCTGTTGTTAAGGGTTTTGGTGGGGTGGGTGGTTGTGTTTGCAGGAAGCACTATTGATAGGGACAGCATAGTGGAAGTATTAGTCTGCCTCTGACCTTGTTTGATATTTCTCATAGAATGGTGAAATGATCAGATTAGTGTCTTGCAAGCATTGTGCAACCTAAATATTTTCCTTCTTTGATAAGTCTGAATAATTACAATTAAGAATCTTAGATGAAAATGAATAAAGATCACGTGCAATGATTTGACCTTTTGTCTATAATATTCTGTATCAGCCCTTGTATACTACTGCAATAATAATTTTGCCTCTGCAGCCTGACTTTGTGTTTTAATTTAGTTGTGTTCTTTATGATGTCCTGTTACACATGGCAGTCTGTGAACTTGATGACAAAACAGGAAGAATTGTATACATCATGGTATGTGCTAAACTATCCATGTGCTGCTTTGTGCCTAAGGGTCGAAAAGCGGCAATGACTAGTCATGCCTGCTGTAATTAATCTTTCCTTTCCCAGTCCTGTTGGCAGCAGTGTCAGGGGACTGACTTGTGCTCACCCTGGCTATTTCCCAGACACTACTGGTTTTTGCAAAACTCTTGTTCAGATCTGATATTTGCAGCTTGAAAATCTGACATCTTCAACATTTTTGTTCCACAAACATTTGATATCTGAAATAGTTGGGAAGGAATGTCCGCTTCATTTGTTAATCTGTTTTTATTGGTCTCAATTTTAAGGAACTGGAAAACAAACATTCGTCTTTGTAGTGAGTCTCTTCTAGGCATGAAACCTACTGTTCTGAGCTTTAACCCCATGAACCAGCTCCAGTTGTGTCTGGCCAATGAGGAATGCCTGTTACTGTGGAATATTGAACGATGTGATGACTTTCACCTATTAAAGCGCATGTAAGTGGCATGTACCAAAAGTCGTAACTACTACTTTCTCAAAAGCACATTTTATCATAGATATCTGGGCATCTACAGTGTCTTATTTCAGTAACACAAAGAAAGGAATACTTTTATCCAGCATCCTTCACAATCTCAGGATGTTTCAATGTGCATTGTAGTTATTGGGGTTATTTTCAAATGTCTATATTTAAAATGTAGAAAATACGGCAGCCAGCCTGTGAACTGCAAGACCCTACAAGCAGCAAATATAATGACAATCATTTCAACTATGAATTGTTCCTGAAGGGATATGTATTGAACAAGGTATTAACCTGTACTTCTTAAAATAGTGCAATAGGACCCTTTATGCCAACCTGAGATAATAATGGGGCCTCAGTTTAATGTCTGATTTGACACTGAAGTGCAGTACTTCCTCTAACTACAACACTGGAATGTAGACCTGGAATGTACAATGGACAAACGTAATTTTCAGCTTCCCTCACTGAGATTTTGTACTGAACTCCTAATTCCAAATTGGCTAATTTTACAATGCCATTATATGCTTTAGTAAAAACAGCCTGGAAACAGACACATAAAGTAAATCAATACAAGTCAGCATTCAAAGTGGCGATTGAGAAGGTTCAGAATAAATGTGTTTCCAGAGGTCCCTGCATGTCAAAAAAAATGTGCATAGTAGGATAAACAAAAAACAAAAGTTCTTTTGAATATCAAGAGTAGAATATTGCAGAAAGACTTGAGGACAACAGAAAACACAATGATAAAATTGATAAGTAGATTTTAGCAACTGAGCCCAGATATAAAAAAAACTGTGAAGGTAAAATCAAGAAATCCCAAAAATATTTTATAAAAACAACGCCTTTGCGGGAGACAGTGGGCATAGTGGTAATGTCACTAAACAAGTCACTGGGGGAATTTAAAATTTAGCAGTAAATCTGAATTACAGAGCTAGTTATCAGTAATGCTGGCCGTTAGAAATATCATTGATTGTCGCTGAAATAACTGCACAAAGGCCAGTATCCTGTTACCAAGTCGCCCTTTATTTGCATGTGCACAGTACATGGACTCTGACCAGATAACCCAGATACAGTCCCTAGAGCGAGGAGTCTCTCTAAATCTCCAGTTTATATCTGTCAGCCAAGGCGCCTTGATTGGGGTTGTTAACCTGGACCAACCAAGGATCTCATAGTCAATGAGATCCACCTGGCCCTTGTTCCAATCATTACATCCATCCCCCACGAATTGCTGGGATGTAGGCCTATTCTTTCTCTTGTGGCTTGTCCTGGGACATTTTCACCCCAGTTCCAGTTCCACTGACTCTGATTTGGACTGTAGCCCGTCTCTCATGCCCAGAGTGTCTCAGGAGAGATTCTGAGGTTTCTTCGATGCGAGAGGGAGGGGGAGAACCCACGGTTTCTGACAGCATTTCTGGCTATTCTGAGGGGCCAGGTAAGTTTTACTCCTGCCTCATGTGACCCTCATGTTTGTTCAGGTCTGCCTCACCTACCCAAACTTTGTTTCTCACGGGACCTGTCCACGCGTTGCCCTCTCCTTGTACACATGCAGCGCCATTTCCCTAGTTCTGACCCCAAACTTTGTCCCCTAAAGTAGACTGTTTCTTTCACTTGGCAGAAGCTTGTGGCCAGCATTGGCATTTCTATTGCCATTTCACCCTTCCCCCAGGTCTGGGAATATAAGGTTTAACCTGGTGTGGAGTCTTCTCTCCATTAGCAACTCTGCTGGAGCAATCCCTGCATTTCTATGAAGGATGGTCCTATAATAAAACAGGAACTGGAATATTTTGATATTGAGTGAAGCTGTAGCCTGTTTCTTTAAGTTTGCCTTCAATGTTTGGACTGCTCTATCTGCCAGACCATTGGATGATGGATGGTATGGAGCTGTCTGAACATGCTGAATGCCGTTTGACTTTAGGAAACACACAAAATCCCTGCTGGTAAATGACATTCCATTGTCTATGACAAATACTTCTGGGAGTATGTGTATTGCAAATGATGCTTGTAGCTTTCACAACTGTCATCGCTGACTTTGCCAAATTAATTCTGACCAAGAACATTGAACCAATGAAAGGACCAGCATAGTCAATTTGTAACTGGGTCCAGAGTTTACTGAGCCATTCCCATGAATGTGGGAGAGCTGCTGGCAATAATATTTGCCCTTGTTGGCAGTCTGGGCACTGCTCCACTGACACAGCTATGTCAGCATCCAATCCTGGCCCCAAACGTAACTTCTTGCCAACATTTTCATGTTGGAAACCTCTGGATGACCCTGGCGGAGTTCAGCCAGTATCTGGTGGCGACCTTTACTCGGGACAATCATTCTTGCTCCCCATGGTAATATGCCATAGAGGTATGGTGATTTGGTCTTGCCAGGCTCAGAAAGTTTTCAATTCTGGTTGTGGTGGCCCTTTTGTTTCCCCCATCACCACCAGCTGTTTTAGTTTTGCCAGAAAGTGATCTTTTTGTATCCACAGTCAGATATTGTCAGCAGTGACTGGAAAGGTGTCCAGAAAGTTTAAAACCAGAATGGATTCTTCGAGAAGGCACCACCAGTGGTGTATCTGCCAGTGGGAGGTGGCTCAAGGCATCTGCATTAGCCACTTGGCATCCTGGATGGTGTTCCAACTTGAAATTCCATGTACTGAGATTAAGGGCCCACCGCTGAATTTGACCAGAAGCTGTGGTGGCACAACCTTGTCTTTAAGTAGTCCTAGCAGGGGTTTGTGGTCTGTTACTATTACAAATCTACATCCATAAAGGTATTAGAGTCATAGAAGCATAGAGCTGTACAGCATAGAAACAGACCCTTCAGTCCAAATCGTCCATGCCGACCAGATATCCTAAATAAATCTAATCACATTTGTCTGCATTTGGCCCATACCTCTTTAAATCATTCCTGTTCATATATCCATCCTGGGACAAGCAAAGCAGAGACAAGCACAGGAATTCCTAGAAGGCTGGTACTCCAAGAAGAAAGCCATCAACAAACACATAGAGCTCGACCCCATATACACTCCACTGCGAAGGAAAACCGGAAGTGAGGTTATCCAGCTCAACGGACTCCAGAGTTCAAATAACTGGCGGGAAAACACAACAGTGTTTCATTGGAGGCTGGACTAATGATGTTACCCAGCAGGGTAATGAAACGTCTGCAGAAAAACAACGAACCAGCTTGAATACAGATAATATGGTTACCAAGACAAAAACAGAAATTGCTGGAGAAATTCAACAAGTCTGGCAGCATCTGTGGAGAGAAAGCACAATCCAGTGACCCTTCTTCAGAGCATAGTTCTTTGAAGCCTTGAAAACTTCCTCCAGAAATGAAAGCTGACTTATATCCTTAGTATAAAATTGAACCAGCAGTGTGCCTGGTTTCCATTTTAAAATTTTGTAGGTATCCAATGCAAAGAATGGATATGCCTTATATCTCTACGCACCTTGATAACACAGCCTATATCATCTGCTTGATTCCATGAACTGTGTTACAAAGCTCTGCTAAATAAGATATACATTTCTGGGGTAGAAAATTGAGGCTGCTTTTATATGTAAAATATATGTAACTAATTGTGGGTCATGGCTGAGAAGGGAAGGGTCTTGACTCATATAAGCAAGTACATGATTTTTGAGGCTAGAAAATGCGATTGTCTGATATTGTATAAGTGAACTTTTATGCCTTGATTCATGGCATTCTAACTCTGAAGGGAGGAGTGCACTGATAATCAAGCTGTACCAAAAGTGTAAATGTCTTATTGAATCACCAAAATTGTCAGTTTGTTTCTCTTTATTACTTTTATCTAGAACAAAAGACAAATTAATCAGGTTTCTTCAATAAACTCAAAAATAACATTTACTGAGAACAAACCTATTCTTTAAACAATTGGCCAAATGGATTATTAAAAAGCTACTACGCAGATTTAAATTATATCCTCTTAATCTATCCCACCCCACAAACACATTCACACATGGACAAGACAACACATCTCTGCACAGGTATCGTAGGTTTTTAAAAATATGCAAAATGTAACAATAGCCCTGTAGATAAAAGGTTAAAAGTTATCTTAGAAGTTCAAAGATAGAATGAGTTGACTTCTCAAAATTCCCTTTTGAAGAAATCTGAATGCTGAGTTACAGAATGATGAAAGATCTTTGGATCATATTTCAGTTTCAGGTGGGAAACAGGAGTTCTGATGATTAAAACTCCATTATTATTTAAAGAGTTCACTAACAGAGAACCTGCACTGGCTTTACAGTAAAGATTTTCTTTTTACTGAGATAGCACTGCTTTTCGTCGCAAGCTACTGCAGAACTGCCACAACTGCTACATTCGGGTGATTACTGATAAAAGCTATTTTCGTTCAGAAGCACAGATCCAACAGTTTTCCAAGTCTATTTGTCCAACAATTGAGGCATAAAATCCATCTCTTATCTCTTCTTAAAAGCTTTACTGGGCAGTCTTTCCACAGATAAAAGTAGGTCTGGCAGCATCTGTGAAGAGAGAAACAGAGTTAACATTTCAAATCCAATATGACTCTTTTTCAGAGTTGGATGCAGCCAGACCTGCTAAGCTTCTCCACCACTTTCTGTTTTATTCTTTCCACTAAGTCAGTTGACTTTGGTAAACTGTGATAAACCACCTTCTCTTTGAGCTTTTAATTTTTAGTTTCCAAGGAATCACACAATAAATTTCTTTGCAATCCAGTAATGCCCAAATAATTCTATTTTTCAATTTTCCATGGTCCATACATATATATATATGTATTTTAACAATAGTTAAATGTGGTTGACAATGATGAAGAGAGCTATAGCCTCAAGAAGACGGCAATGGACTGGTCAGATGGGCAAGAAAGTGGCGTGTGGAATCAACCTGGAGAAGGTTGGGGTGATCCATCTTAGAAAAACAAGGCAACAAGATACACAATAAATGGTAAGATAGTGAGAAGTGTAGAGGAATAGCGGCATCTTGGAAATGCATGTCCCTACAGGTAACAGGACAGGTAGATCAGATGGTTAAAAGACATACAGAATATTTTCCTTTATTACCTGAGGCCTAGAATTTAAGATCAGGGAGATTATGTTAGAGCTGTGCAAAACAATTAGACCATGACTCGAGTGCTGTGACAGTCCTAACTACAACATTACAAGAAGGATATGATTACATTAGAGAGGTGACACAGGCAATTGATAAAAACATTACAAGGACTTTGAGGAAGAATGAGGAAGGATTAGGAAGGTTGCGTTTGCTTTCTTTGGTCCAGAAAATGCTGAAAATTATGGACATCCTGGAATGGATAGGAAGGACTTAATTCCATTACCAGAGAGGTTAACAATCAGGACTAATGGACTTAAAGTAATTGGCAAAGGAATTAAAGTGTAATTGAGAATTTTTTTATCCAGAAAGTGGAGTAAAGTCTGGACTTTACTGCCTGAAAGGTTAGTAGATATATCAACTCTCATTGCATTTAAAGATCCTGGATATGCATTTAAAAATGTTTTAACCTACAGAGTAATGGAGCAGGAACTGGAAAGTGGGATTTGGCCAAATCACATTCCTCAAATGCTGTGTATTTTTGATGTTTATGTTTGGCCAGGGAGTTTATCTTGTCTGCCTCCCCATGAGATGATATGGAACCAGGTGATGGGGGTATCTTTATTGTGATGTACAAGGTATCACAACTACATGATCCAGGTTAGAGGGCTGCTTTGTCTCTCTTTGCCTGAATGCTCTAGTGATGCAGGAAGTATACTGGATGACAGTGGCCAGAATTTTTCATTTAATAAGACAAAACTACAAAACCCATACCAAGTTAAACTACTATAAAAGTGCCTTGAAGATGGCGAGGGAAGAGTTTAAATTTATCAGTGAAGACAGTGTATTGAATAAAACCTGTTGAGGACAAATGGACAAAGTATTGAGCAATGTAAGTACACGGTAAGAATAGAACCATTAAAATAGCATAGAAATTCACAGCTCAGCAAGAAACCACTCTGGTCATCATACCTGTGCTTCACCAGAAGGGTGTATATATTGTTCACTCACTGTTCCCACAGAGAACCTTGATCCCATTATTCGAGTTGAAACTTTCCAGTAACTTTCTCATAGTTCCCCCATAAGGGGGAACCACATCAGATTGGACTGCATGCCTGTTTTGCTCCTACACAACCCGATCTGATTCCATTTGTTCCCACTGGAAAATTTATGTTGAAATGAACCCTACGTATATTTTCTCCAGGAAGTCAGTGCAAGGGTTGTGTGAATCAGCTGACAGATTTTTCTAGAAAGGCCTTGATTTAGCGCATGAACTTTATACCTAGGTCTCTGCCAGTGGCAGTAGTGGAAGAATGTAGCTTACACTATTTGAAAACATCCTGGTTAGACGATGCTGCAGACAGTGATGAATGCAACAAAATTGTAATGGGTTAAAATAAAATAAAGGCACTTTAAGGGAAGTGAAAGTTAAGTTAACATTTAATTGGATACATCGAATGTGGTTACCAATATGAAAAGATGTTGAGTAGATCAGGTAGCTCAATCTCCAAAATTTTGTTATTTTTCTCTGCAGAGATGTAAAGCTCCCTGCAGAAGACGGATCTCAAGCAGTTTTAGAGGATGTTGGGATTGGTCCTGACAGCAGTGCTTTGACTTACTATGGCCCAAAGATGTTAATATCAGCCCAGGCAGGTCTTGTGGGAAACATGGCCAATACATTTGTGGTAAGTTTCTTTGGATTTTGTTCAACATCTTGTGCGTCAGAGCTCAGCTTGAGCCACACATTGTTCAGAGTTAACACATTATAGAATCTCACAGCACAGAAATAGGCCAGTTGACCCATCATGCCTGTACCAGCTCTTTCAAAGAGAAATCTAACTAATCACACTTGCCACTCAGCTTTTCCCATAATTTTACAACTCTTTCCTTATGCATATTTTCTGGCAAATGTTATTTCCTTTTAAATAGAACTTGGAAGCTAGCTGCTTTTTCTTTCCCCGTGCTGTCTCTGACAATAAGTTCCCAAGTATCCTCAGCCTGGTAAAAGTCATAAATGTAGCAGCTGCTCTAAGGTGAGCAATCCCTGAGGTACAGCAACCAGGAACATGCTCAGTTTGATACCAACTAACTGTTGAATAACATTTTGAGATCAAGTATGTGTGTATTTTGAGACATGATGTGTGGTGAGTGGAGTGTGCTTCAGAGGACATACAATTGCCAATGCTCTACACCACAAAAGTTTTTCTGACTTTGGACAGAATCTTCATGAGACTTTGAGGATTCTTGCCTTCTGACTATAAAGCTGGTAAGAGACCCAGGCTACCTTTCCCAGGGAAGGCCTGTTAAAAAAAATCACAAGCCAATCAGGCAATGGCAAGGCTACAGGTAGGAGGGTAGATCTTTCCGTGGAAGCAAGACCCTGACTGTGGATGTCCCACTGTTTCGAGAGTACTAGCCAATCAGAAACTGGTAGCTGTGTACTCAGCAACATCAGGGAGGTGGCTGCTTCCAGAAGAGCAGTGTTCCAGGATTGCAGAGGATACAGCACACTTAAATGAGATGGGGGAGGAGAAGGAGGGAAAGGGCGGGGACATGGGTTCATATTTACAGAGAGTGATGTAGGGGGATTAGAAACAAGGGCCAGGATATAGCCCCTTAGTGGACAATGAGAAGCAGGGCGTAAATGAAGAGGAGGAAGTGAGATTGGGAGGGAGCTGACATTGAACAGACAAATGCCCTGGCTCTTCCTGTACTCCTGTTGTCCAATTCCAACCCTATACCAATCCTAACCCCAAACCCAAGCCTGTTCCCTAGACTGAACTGTAAATCTAATCTCAAACATAATCCTACTCCCAACATTCATTTGATCACCAACCTAACCCGAGCTATAATCTTAAAATATATCCTACTCTTCACAGTATAACGTCCTGCAGTACTGCTAAGTGCCTCTGAGAAAAACATAGCTGATATTTGGTTTTCAAAAAAAAATGCATGAGTCAGTTTACATGTAATGAAAGTATCTCATTAAATGTAATATATATGAATATACATATCTTTGCTCTTTTACATTTTCCCTTTCCTGAAGCCACGGGAACTACAGAAAACTTTGATTAAGCCTGTGTCTGTCTGCTGGACCCCAAATTCCGATTTATATGTTGGCTGTAAAACAGGACACCTTTTACTTGTAGATGCTGAGTTGCATAGAGCTGTTGTATTTGCCACACCATCCGGTGAACAATTGTCCCCAGGTAAGAATATTTATCTGAGTACTGTCTGAAACCAAGACTCTGACTTTGAATAAGGAGGTAATGAGCTTTGAAGTGAATCTTGATAGTTGGTAAATGGAGTACAATGTGGGAAAGTGTGAATTATCCATTCGGTCATAAGAATAGAAAAACAAAACTTAAAAGGCATGAATCATTTAATTGTTAATGTTTAGAGAACATACTAAGTACATAAAATTAACATGCAAATACAGAAAGTAATCACAAAGTAATTATTACAAGGACAAAGAAATCTTGCTACAATTGTAAAGGATTTTGCTGAGATTATACCCAGAATACTGTGCACAGTTTTGATCTTCATATTTAAGCAAGAATATACTTGCTTTACAGATGATATATTGAAGGTTCGTTAGATTTGATCTTGGAGATCAGAAGACTGAGAAGTGATCTCAAATGACATTCTGTAGGGTCTTGATGTAACGTGTTTCTCCTGGCTGGAGAATCTAGAACACAAAGAACCAGTCACAAAACATTTTTTTAATCATTCATGGGATGTGGGTGTCATTGGCTTGATCCGTGTATATTGCCCATCCTTAGTTGCCCTTGAGAAGGTAGTGGTGCGCTACCTTCTTGAACCGCTGCAGTAGGTTGATGGACAATGCCAGTGGGGAGAGAATTCCAGGATTTTGACCCAGCGACAGTGAAGGAGTGATCAGGATGGTGAGTGGCTTCGGCGGGGAGCTTGCAGGTGGTAGTGTTCCTATGTATCTATCTGCTGTCCTTATCCTTTTGGATGGAAGTGATCATGTGTTTGGAAAATGTTGTTAAAGGAGCCTTAGTGAACTTCTGTGGTGCAATTGTAGATGGTACAAACTATTGCTACTGAGAGTTGGTGGTGGAGGAAGTGAATGTTTGTGGATGTGGTGCCAATCAAGAAGGCTGCTTTGCCCTGGATGGTGTCAAGCTTCTCAAGTATTTGGAGCATTCTGCGGTGATGAAGCCAGACCATCCTTCACAACACCAGAGACAGGTAGAACCTCAGTATGTGGTGACATTTGGTGTTTACATTCCAAAGGTCTGTGCACAGCTTGATGCAGCCACACTCAAAGGTGGCCACCAGAATGAGGACGGCATGGGGTACATCTTTCCCCCCGCTTATCCAGAGCTTTGAACATAGTGTCCTTGTGGACACTGTCCATCTTTGACCTCCAAATAAGCTCTGACCAATCAGGTCATACCTACCACTAATGTCCACCAATCACCACCATTCCGCCTCCAACCCTTCCCCTCCTCCTTTACCTGGAGCTTCCCCTATCCTCACATCCAGTCCTAAAGAAGGGTTATACCTGAAGTATTGGCTGCTCCTTTATTCCAGATGCTGCCTGGCCTGCTGTGTTCTTCCAGCCTCCTGTTTGTCTACCTTGGATTCCAGCATCTGCATGTTTTTTGTCTCTCCTTGAGTATTGTTGGAGTTGCAATCATCCAAGCAATTGGGGAGTATTCCACCACACTCCTGCCTTGAGCCTTTCAATGGTGGACAGACTTTTGGTAGTCTGAAGGGGAGTTACTCATCACAGTTGCTATCCTCTGACCTGGTCTTGTAGGCACTGTATTTATATGACTAGTTCAGTTCAGTTTCTGTTTGGTGGTAACCTCCTGGATGTTGATAGTGGGAGATTCAGTGATAGTAATACCATTGAATGTCAAGGCACAAAAACAGAACTCGGCAGTTCTGCCAGTATCTGTGGGAAGAAAACAGACTGTGCCTTTGTAGTCACCCGAACCATCTTCCACTTATCTGGAGGTCAATGATGGACCGTGTCCACAAGGACACTATGTTCAAAGCTCTAGATAAGGGGTGCAAGGATGTACCCTATGCCATCCTCATTCTGATAGCCACCTTTGTGTATGGCTGCATCAAACTGTGCATAGACTCTTGGTATGTAAAAACAAAGTGTCACTATATACTGAGGTTCTACCTGTCACTGGTGTTGTGAAGGATGTTCTGGCCTCCTCACCACAGAATGCTCCAAATAGTTGGACCATTCCATATTATCTGTCCCTCATGGAAAAATTTACAAAGAGAAACACATTTGACCACAAGTCAGAGTCGCCAGAATAAGTGGGTAAAGGTGGGTACAATTACAACATTTAAAAGACATTTGGATAGGAAAGGTTTAGAGGGATATGGGCCAAACACAGACAAATGGGACTAGTTCAGGTTAAGAAACCTTAGACTCCCTGCAGTGTGGAAACAGGCCCTTTGGCCCAACAAGTCCACATTGACTCTCACAGCATCCCACCCAGACCCATCCCCCATAACCCACCTAATCTACACATCCCTGAACACTATGGGCAATTTAGCATGGCCAATCCACCTAGCCTACACATCTTTGGACTGTGGGACGAAACTGGAACACCTGGAGGAAACCCATGCAGGCACGGGGAGAATGTGCAAACTCCGCCCAAGGGTGGAATTGAACCCAGGCCCCTATTGCTGTGAGGCAGCAGTGCTAACCACGGAGCCACCATGCCGCCCCTCAGCATGGACATGATAGGCCGAAGGGCCTGTTTCCTGCTGTATGACTCTATGAATCTGGTGACTCTATCAGAACTGTTAGTAGCTAGGAAAAGTCGGCATTTATGCTGAAGCTGAAGTGAGGAGATACGTGTCAAGGGGAGATGTGAGTGGATAGATAGAGATAGAACCCAGAGAGAGAGATATGAAAGGGCTAGGTAAACAAGGAGATAATGGATAGCAGACCAGAACAAAAGAAAAGCTGACTAAGACATAATAAAGACTGAGAATGAGAAAATGGTTAGCTGTACTGAATGCAACCCATATAATGTCATAATGGGCCTAGGAGTATGTGGGAATGGGTGACTGTGCCAAAAGTAACCCATGTCATAACAGGACTGGGTGTGGGGTGAGTTAAAAAAGGACATGGAAGGATGGAATCAGGCTCTCAAGTTATTGAACTCGGTATTGAGTCTGAGAGGCAGCAGGGTCCCCAGGCAGAAAAAGTGATGTTGTTCTTTGAGCTAGCGCTGACGTTCACTGGAACACTGCAGCAGGCCTGTAACAGAAATGTTGGCCAAGGAACATGGTGATGTGTTGAAGTACCAGCTAACTGGAAGCTCGGTGTCATTTTTGCAGACACAGCATAGGTATTCTGCAAAGTGGAAACCTATCCCTTTCATATATCTCTCTCTTTCTGTGTTCCATCTCCACCTGTCTGCTCACCTTTCCCTTAACCCCGCTTTCTGCAACTTTGGCTTAAATGCCAATTTTTCCTAGCTACTAACAGTTCTGATGAAGAATTACCAGACTTGAAATGGTAACTTTGCTTTCTTCCCACAGATGATGCCAGGCTTGCTGAGTTTCTGCATCAATTTCTGTTTTTTATTTCAGATCTCCAGTATCTAGAGTTCTTTGCTTTATTCAAATGTCAAGGGATAGTTAAATTCTCTTTTTCTTAATTCATTCATGGGACGAGGGCGTCGCTGGCTAAGCTGCATTTATTGCCCATCCCTAATTGTTCATCATTGCTTGGCATTTGTGTGGCATGAATATTATTTGCCACTTTTTTGTCCAAGCCGGATATTGTCCAGGTCTTGTTTTATTTGGATATGGACTGCTTCAGTATCTGAGGAGTTATGAATGGTGCTGAACATTGTACTATTATTGGCAAAATCCCCACTTTTGACCTTATGATGGAAAGAAGATCATTTATGAAACTGCTGGAGATGATTAGGCCTAGGATACGCTAATATTCAAGTCTCAACTACTCCAGAGGTGTATCATTACATCTCTTAAAAGGTCTATTAGAAAATATCTATCCTGAGGACCTTCTGAAGAGATGTCATGGAGCAAATGATTGACATGCCACATCAACCATCTTTCTTTATGCCTGATATGACTCCAACCAACAGAGAGTTTTGCCCTGATTCCTGTTGACTCCAGTTTTTTGCTAGGTCTTCTTGATGTCATACTCAGTCAAATCAGCTTAAGGAGCTGCATGGTCCACGTCCCTTCCTTTTTGTACATTCATACAGCAGGAAGACCTGATGGCTGAGGGACCTGAGTATGCTCAATTTACCCAAAAATCTTTATTTGTCCAGTACTTTCTTTGACGTAGTACTGACATATTTGTCAAACAACCTTGGGTTGTCACTTGCACCTGATTAAAATCAAACGTTCCAATACTCTGGAAAAATGAAAATCTGCCAAGGTGCAAATCTAAACTAAAGCAGGAAGTTCTGGGAATAGACAGTTGCTCTGTTTATGTCTGTGAACAAACAGTTTGGTGTTTCAGTTAGAGACAAAGCAATGTATTTGCACTGTGGCTATCAAAGCTCATAACTATGACATGTACTTTTTGAAGTGCTTTATTTATGATATGGAAAAATATGACAGCCATTTTGTGCTGAGCCAGGTGCCATAAACTAAAATGAGATATATTATCAGTCAACTGGTTATTTTAGGAGTTAGTTGAGAGAAAATTGTTGGCCAGCACACCATTGAGGAATTCTCCAAATAGCGATATGGGGGTTTTCAAGTCTGTCTAAGTCACTGGGACCAGCAAGATTTCAGTTTAATGTCTCACCTGGCGTTCAGATGGAGATATTTTATTAGATGCATAGTCTTTCTCTGTTCACATATTGGGCTTACTTTACAGTTTAGGAGCTGCTTGTTATTATCCCACTTTGCTAAATAACACAATCTTGTGTAATTGTTCCTTTTCTCTAGGCAGTTTCAGAAATGCGTCATCCAATATTATGATGAGTGTCCATCCAGAACTAAAGCAATGTGCAGTGAACACCCTCGCGCTCAACAAAAAGGGACTGTATACAGCAGGATTGGTATTTGTTTCTGAATAATATAATTTACTAAGAACAATAAGCAACATCGTCCACAGTCCAAAATGAATTGTGTCCACTATATCCAATATTGGGGCAGGGTTAAAGTTTGCATCTGTGATTGGGTTGATTCAAGTTATTTTTTGGAGACTGGGTTGGCACATGTTACTGATCATGTGCATAATTTCTCATGTATGTGCATTTATTAGTCATGTGAGAAATAATGAAAAGGCATGAATGTATTTGTGTGACAACAAGGTGCAGGGCTGGATGAACACAGCAGGCCAAGCAGCATCATAGGAGCAGAGAGGCTGACGTTTCGGGCCTAGGCCCTTCATCAGAAAAGCAATGTATTTGTGTGATTGTGCATGTGTGAAACATACATGGAACCTGTGTCTGTATACTGCTTAAATGACAACTATATATTTCCCAGAATGGAATCCTCTACTGTATCAAGGTGACACCCCACAAAGTGGAGATTGAGGAATGCTTGTCAGCCGGAGCGCCAATTAGGAACATTGAATTCTCAGTAGATTATGAATCACTGCTTGTTGCTACAGAAGAGGTAAAACAGATCACTTCAGGCTGTGCTGATCTCTGAGTGCAAGCACACACTGACTGGATTGGTCTCACACATTATTAAAATTTGTGCATTACTAATATAACCTTTTAGCATTTTCCTCCTGCTTGATTTCAAAAGAGAGCATAATTTTTTGGTTTAATACTGATCCCATTACATTATGCTTTGATTAATTCAATTTTACTTTCTTCTTCTTGAAGCAGTTCACAATGATGTCAACAGTCTGAGTCCTAGCCCTGCATTCCCAATATACATAAGGAAACAAAGAGCTCAATTATTCCCGTCTTTGCACATCACTCCATGCGGACTGCAATGCTACAGAGTTCATCTGTTGCACAGCTCAGCAGCAGTGACTTTTGAACTGAAGCACTGTTGATGTAAAGCTAGATGATGGGCTGAATGACCTTCTGTTGTGTTGAATTGTTAATCAATGCCCTCCACCTCCCACTACACCACCCCCCCTCCGACCCCTGCCCCTTCTCCCAATCCCTTTATCATTCTGTCAGTCCCCTAACTAATTCACCAAACTCTGCCCATTATCCTTCTCCCCACACTCTGTACTGGCTAACTGTGCTATAGTTACTGTCTTTTATATCTCCTTCCCTGTTTGAATAAATGTGTTACATTAGCAGTTTTCCAATCCTTTGAGGCTTTTCCAGAACCTAAGGCTTCTTGGAAGATTGCTACCAGTGCATCCACTATCTCTGTAGTCACTTCCTTTAAAGCAAACTATCAAGTTCAGGGAACTTATCCCCATTAGTTCTAGTAGTTTTTCTCTAGTGATAACTATTGTATTTATTTCCTTATCAATGACCACCCACCGCCTTGCCTTAGTCTTTTCATTACTTAGAATTTTTGGAATACTATTAGTGTCCTCTACCATGAAATGGATGCAAAGTCTTTATTCAACTCCTCTGCCATTTCTTGTTCCCCACTATTATTTTTTCCAACCTCACTCCCTTCGGCCTCTCTCTCTTCCTTTTCATATGTTTAAAAAGCTCTTACTGTCTATCTTATATTACTTGCTAATTTGCCCTCATCATTTATTTTCACTCTATTATTTTTGGTCATCTTTTGTTGGCTTTTAAAACTTTCCTAATCTTCAGATTTACCATTTATCTTTGCCATATAGTATGTCTTTTTCTTTCAATTCGATACTATGCTTAACTTCCTTTGTTAACCATGGTCAGTTTATCCACTTTCCAGAATCCTTCTTCCTTATTGGAATTTATCTTTATTGTGGGCCATGGGCTATTTTCTTAAATGTCTGCCAATGTTCCTCAACTGTCTTTTCTGCTGAATTCCTTTCCCAGTCCACTCAAGCCAACTCTGCCCTCATCTCTATGTAATTAGCCTCAATTAAGTTTTTAACATTGTCGTTTCCCACTTCCCCTTCTACACCCTTCATCACCTCTCCCATCCCCATCTTTTCTCCCAACCCAAACCCCTCCCCCATAGCCCTTCCATCCCTTTCTTCTCCACCCTCCCACCCTCCTTAACCCCTAGCCCCTTCACCCCCTTTCCAACTCCATGCTCTCCTTCTCCTCATCCTTCCCCATCTCACCACCCTTTCCCTTCCATCTCCCCCGTCCTTCCCCTACCTTTATTCATTGACCCCCTTTTCCCCTCATCCAACACTTCCCCATCTCCCATACCCTCTCTTCCCCAGCATCTCACTCCCCTCATCCCACCATCCCTACCTCCTTCCTATCCACTTCATCCTTTCCACATGTTCCTTCCCCCTCCTGTCTCAAATCTGTCTTGTCCCTCCTCCCCGACGCCACTGTCTTCATTGCTCTGTGAATGTAAATTGTTGCTGTAATGATTTGGATTTATGAATTGAAAAAACAATATCAGTTTGTGAATAATGGCAAACAGAGAGTCTGGTTATGTTGATGATGATTTACCCATTTCAGGTTTTGGGATGCATGTGAAAAGTACATTTTGTTTTCCTTTTCCTCTCAGGGTTCAATACATATTTACAAGCCATCAGAGCCGAACAAGATGACCACAATCTTAGACATACACAGTGGGGACTATGTATCAGCAGCTCTGCTGGGGACAGGGAAACAGTACTGTGTGGTAAGATTAAAAGTAACAAAACTTAAAAAGTCAGCTCCCTGTTACTGTGTTGGATCATTTCAATGTTTCTTTAACCGAGACAGAGAATATGGGAGCTGGGATGAGTTATGCTGGAACTAGTTAGTCCACAGCTGGAGTATTGCCTACAGTTATGGTCACCAGAATTTTGGAAAACTAAGTCTTTTACTATTCCATATTTAGTATTTATTGTGTAGCATTAGATTCGATTTGACTGTGTTACAAATGTAAACAAAAGATTTATTAGGTGCCACACCACCTCATTACCAATGCAGTTTTTTGGAAGTAAGAAATTTTTGTAAACGAAGAAATAAAAACTAACCTTCAAATGTAAATGAGCAAGGGAACAATAGCCATCCTGCAATTAAGAGCAGCTGCCCATGGTCAATGGCTGAGAGGGACTAGACAGGCAATTGACATTTCACAGATTGCCAGCCCCAAAAATAAGGATATCAACAGGAATAGATGGGGAGAGAAAGAGAGGGTCCAGGGAAACAGTCAGACCTTCGGAATAGGAACAGGAGTAGCTGTTCAGTCCCTCTAGTACACTCCACCAATCAGTAGAATCATGGTTGATCCAACATTCCTCACGTCCACTTTTTTGTGTTTTTCCTGTAACCCTTGATTCCTCTACTCATCAAGAATCTATCCACATCAACCTTAAATACAAACAAGGACTCTGCCCCCACAGCTCTCTATGGTAAGGAGTTCCAAAGACACTCAACCCTATGAGAGAAGAAATTCCTCCTCTTCTTAGTTTTAAATTGGTGCCCCTTAATTCTGAGACTATATTGTCTGGTCCTAGTTTTTCCTCATAGGCGAGTCTTTCAATGTTTCTTGCACAAGTACATCTAGGTTTCTTTCTGTTGTAGCTTTCTGCATTTTTTCTCCATTTACAACATACTTTGTTTTCTTGATGTCCCTTCCAAAATGAACTTTACATTTTCCCACATTATGCTCCATTTGCCAACTTTTTGCCTACTTACTACTTATCAGTATCTCTCTGTAGACTGTTTGTATCCTTCTTGCAACTTGCCTTTCCATCTATTTTTGTGTCACCTGCAAACAAGGCACCATCTTCTTGGGAAAACTCCAGGCTTTCCCCTACATCAGCCCGAGTGAGGAATGAAGACTACCACAACCAAAAACCACATGGCATCAGGGATGAACTGTCCACCACTTCAAAACTGCTGCCCTTATGCCATTATTTTACAGAACAACTTCAAAATCAGTGAATTGTTCTCATCTGTCACAATTGTATACTTGCTTTGTCTAATTAACTAGCACAAGGATAGTGTAAAGCTGTCTCTGCATTTCACCCAACAGACAATATGCAGGAGGTTAGACAAGTATTCAGAGCTGGGGATAAAACTAAATGAAATTGTCTGAGGATTATTATGCAATGTGCCATCTCTTGTCCCGGTGATTAAGTTTGTTTTGATTATGTGTTTCATTGTAGTCAGCAAGAATACTGGGTGCTGTGCAGGTGTGGTCTGTTGCAGATGGGAAACTCATCAGTACCCTCGTCCTTCCAGTAAAGGTAAACTATCCTATTTCTCTAGCCCTGTTTTCTTATTTCTCCTCAAAATAATGAGAGCAGTATCTGGAAAGTGGGGGAGGTGTTTTGCTATTTTACACAGCTAAGACAGGCTTGATGGGCTCAATGGTCTACATTTGCACAGTGAAATTCCATGCTGTGGAATTTCATTTTGGAAAACTCTGGTGTTTCACATGTTGGGAAGTATTCCCCCATTGTGCTAACCATCTGAACATTGTAGCAGAACCCAATACTGGACCCACCCTGCACCCACAACCAGCAATAACTCTGCAGTAGCCTCTGATGGCAATCTGTGATTATAAACTGGACTGGGGTTTACTATTGACCAAAATCTGAACTGGACTGATGACATAAATACTGTGGCTACAAGAGCAGATCAAAGGCTAGGAATCTTGCAGTGATTAACTCATGACTCCTGAAAGCCTGTTCCATCTACAAGGCACAAGTCAGGAGCGTGATGGAATACTCCCCATTTGCCTGGATTGGTGAAGCATCAATAAAACTCAGGAAGCTAGACATCATTCAGATCAGAGCAGCTTCCTGATGACCTAATGTCTCCATCATCCTCTGCAAAATTTAAAACAGTTTACAGTGGGTCCATAGGCGGTGGGCAGACCACAATTTTGTGATCTTCCCACCATTGCCATCTTCAAACCTGCTTGCAGGGGCAGCATAAATTCCGATCCATTTGTTTCATATATGGACCACACAGTATCCTGCAACAGTTGAGTTGCATGAGGGAAGCCATTGATCATTCTGAATTCATATGTGCAGCCACAGAAACCCCTTTCTCTTCCCTGACTATTGAATCTTCTTTCATTATTGCAATCCTGATTTCTGCCTATCCCATCATCCATTCCCTGACACTCTATTTCCCAGAAAAACCATTTCCCCTACTGGTATTCAGAACTGAATATTGGCTGAAGAATGAGATAATAAAGGACATCTGCATTATCTGCCTGGTTTTCCTTGGCTGCCGAGAGGTCACCCATTCCCTTGCTGCCTGTGTTCACTTAAGCTGCAAGCTCATCCCCACCAGAAACACGCTTTTTACCCATCTCTCAGCTCATTTTTGAGTGCTGGTCAAACTCTGAAATTTGAAGTTGAGCTTCTCCAGTTGACATTATTTCCTAAAGTTTTTGAGAAGATTTGTAGTTCGGGTCGTGGATGAGGTTGCAATTTGCTTGCCGAGCTGCTGTGTTTGATTGCAGACATTTCGTCCCCCGCTAGTTAACATTGTCAGTGCGCCTCCAGTGAAGCGTTGGCGTTCAGTCCCACTTGTTATTTATATGCCTCGGTTTGCTGGAGTGGCTGGTACTACTTCCAGTTCTGTTTTTCAGTGGTTTGTATATCGGGTCCAGTTCAATATGTTTGTGAATGGCATTCTGGTTGGAATGCCAGACCTCCAGGAATTCCCTGGCATGTCTCTGTTTGGCTCATGCTATTATGGATGTGTTGTCCCTGTAAAATTCGTGCCCTTCTTTGTCCGTGTGTATTGAGACAAGTGAGAATTGGTTGTGTCTCTTGATGGCTGGTTGGTGTTTGTGTATCCTTATTGCCAGTTTTCTTCCAATTTGGCCTATGTAATGTTTCTCACAGTCCTTGCATGGTATTTTGTATATTACATTAGTTTTATTGGTCGTGGGTTGTGGGGTCCTTTATGTTCGTCAGTAGCTGTCGTAAGGTGGTTGTTGGTTTGTGGGCTACCGTGATATCTAGGGGTCTGAGTAGTCTTGTGGTCATCTCTGATATGTCCCTGATGTATGATAGAGTGACTAGTGTGTCTGGCCGTGTTGTGTCTTCCTGTTATGGTTTGTCGCGGAGGTAACAGCTGATTGTGCTTTTTGGGTATCCATTCATTTTAAAAACACTGTATAAGTGCTCCTGTTCTGCTCTGCACAATTCCGGATTGCTGCAATCTGTTGAACAGTGTGAGAACAACAACTGACTACCCTTCCTGCACGTAATGATGGAACGTAAGAACAACAGGGAACTCCAGACCAGCGTATACAGAAAGGCCACACATACAGACCAGATACTTACTTAATTACACCAGCAACCACCCCAACACCCATAAACAGAGCTGCATCATGACATCGTTCAAATGAGCGACAACAGACTGCAGCAATCCGGAATTGCGCAAAGCAGAACAGGAGCACATACAGAGTTTTTAAAAGGAATGGATACCCAAAAAGCACAATCCACTGTTACCTCCGCGACAAACCACAACAGGAAGACACAACATGGCCAGACACACTAGTCACCCTACCATACATCAGGAACATAGCTGAGATGACTGCCAGACTACTCAGACCCCTAGGTATCACGATAGCCCATAAGCCAACAACCACCCTGTGACAGCTACTGACGAACATAAAGGACTCCATAGCCACGACCAATAAAATTAAGGTAATATACAAAGTACCATGCAAGGACTGTGAGAAACATTACATAGGCCAAACTGAAAGAAAACTGGCAATAAGAATACATGAACACCAACTAGCCACCAAGAGACACAACCAATTCTCACTGGTGTCAATACAAGGACAAAGAAGGTCACAAATTCGACTGGGACAACACATCGATAATAGCACAAGCCAAACAAAGACATACCAGGGAATTCCTGGAGGCCTGGTATTCCAACCGGAACAAACACATTGAACTGGACCTGATATACAAACCGCTGAAAAACAGACCCGGAAGTAATGCCAGCCACCCCAGCAAACTGAGGCATATAAATAACAAGTGGGACAGAACATCAAAGCTTCACCAGAGGCGTATTGATGATGTTACCTAGCAGGGTGACGAAACGTCTGCAATCAAACACACCGGCTTGGCCAGCAAGTCTGCGACAACATTATTTCATGAACATGTGGTTATCCAGGGCTAGGACTGTGGTGCCTTGCAATGTCTCAACTTATTGGATGCTAACAAGACTCCTCAGATAGAAAATCTAAGACTTTCTTCGACTTTAGCTTATTTAAAAATCATGAGTTAATCATTTTACAAGTTTAAAGTTCTGTTAGACCACTAACTAAAAGTTTCTCTCAATGTCCCAACTTCCTGTCACTGAGATGTCAATTCTTGTTTCTATTTCATCAAATACATACGCTGCCATTCTTCTTTCTACCACTGTTCATCCCCACACTGTATCTGAAGGTCTTGTCTCCTGTTCTATTTATTCCTGCTGTGATGACTCACTTTGTTGCCTCTTCTTACATTTGTTCTCTGTCCTCAATCAAAAGGAGCTGTTGCCACAGCTGGCTTTTGGCAAATATTCTTACCACCTATTAGCATCTAAGAATTAAAACTCCAGTCAGCCAGACTAGGGCAGGAATGAAGTAAGTGCCCTGCTCCATGTTAACTACCCTGGTTTCACTAGGGTGAGAGGCTGCTGAAGATTAGAATATGTATATGTATTAGAATAGAACTATGTATACATTAACATATTGATGATTAAAAATTCGTGAAATTTACTTCTTTCTTTTTCAGATCACAGTTATGGCGAGCTGTCCTTCCTCCAACTATGTTGCCCTGGGCACTGAAACTGGTCAGGTCTATTTCATAAATCTGGCAAAAGTGGAGACCCCTCACCTGGTTTACCAACTCAATCTCCACAAAATGCCGATACAGTGTTTAGAGTAAGTAGGAAGCAAAAATGATATTTGTAAAAAAACCCTTCTGCTTATCTTAGGCCCATCAGAGGAGAATATTTTTCACTTCTCTATTCTGAGTTTTCTGAGTTGCTCATCTATTTTCAGTAGTTTTGTTTGGGAGCAGTATTAAAAGGAAACCAGGAAAATTTCAATTTCCCCCAAATCAGGCCATGGTATTTCAAATGTTCACCCGAGGAGCAGAGAGGACATTGGTTGAAAAATTAATCTGAAGAAAGCACCTCCGATAGCAAATTGTTCCTTCACTATTAACCCTCCAAGCTGGAGGAACAACATTTCATTTACCACTTAGGCACTTTATTGCTTTTAGGATTCAATATTGAGTTCCACAACGTCAGAATATAACCTCTATACTCCGTTTTTCCATTCCCAAGCTTTCCTCACCGTGTTTTATAATGTTTGCCATCAACACAGTGGACACATTTTCTCCTCTTCACAGTTAACATTTACACATGTTTTTCATTTCAATCGCTCCTTTACCTACATTATTACTGCCTTTGTCTTTTGTTCCAGGCATGCTCACCCATATGTTCAGTTTACTCTCCTCCCCCTCTGTTGCGAGCATAGAAAATCACCATTTTCTAGCTCCTTTCAGTTCTGAAATAGACTCATACTGGACTCAAAAGTGCACAGGAGGGAGGGAACATATAGGGTCAGGGTGTTTAAGCAGAAGGTGCCTCTTTACACAGAGGAACGATATTCACATGGCAAGAACAAAGCAAATTAACATCCTTAGTCAGACTTCGCTTAAAAGTGCTGTAGCCAGTTTTCTCTCCTCAGACATAATAAGGCTTTGGAAAGAGTCCAGAGGAGGATGACAAGATACTTTAGAGAGGTACAGTTGTATGGCTGTTCTGATAAAATGATGAAGGGAATAGGTTGCATTTGTTTCAATAATTGGATTCAGGGGGAGCAGGGGTCAAAATCTTAGGTTACACAAGGTTATATATCAGGAGGTGATTCTTTACTCATTGAATAGTGAACCTCAGTTACAGACTACTGACTCTGAGCAGTTAATACAGATTCACTGAATTCTTTTGAGTGAAAGCTGGACTTGTTTCCGATTGGGAGCAGGGTGGAGGGATGTTGATGAGATCATCATCATAGAATCCCTGCAGTATGGAAACAGGCCCTTCGGCCCAACAAGTCCACAATGACCCTCAGAGCATCCCATCCAGAGCCATCCCCGTAATCTAGGCATCCCTGAACACTATAGGCAATTTAGCATGGCCAATCCACCAAGCCTGCACATCTTTGGACTGTGGGAGGAATCTGGAGCATCCGGAGGAAACCCACGCAGACACAGGGAGAATGTGCAAACTCCGTACAGACAGTCGCCCATGGCTGGAATCAAACCTGGGACCCATGCGCTGTGAGCTAACCACTGAGCCACTGTGTCACCTTACCCTGGTAACAGTGCCAGTGTGATTTCCTGGACTAGGTTTGATGAAAGAGGAATTTTTTTCAATTATTTTTCTTTTCCAATCAGCCTGGGGCTTTTGCCATTTTTATAGCTAAACCCAATAAACTACTTGGGTGGATAGGGAGTTTAAACACTGGTGCACAAAGCGTTATCATTGTTTGGATGGACCCGAGAGATTTTCTGTCTTCTTCGTTGTCTATATGTTCAAATTCAAAGAACTGAAGGAAAGTTTCTTCCTGCCCAACATTGTTCCGACAGTTAAAAAGAAGATTAACTCTGTTTTTGTTTATTAATGGTGTAAAATGGCTGCTACATCAACAGTTGCAGCACTTCCAGAGAAAGTTTGTGGGTCCAAAACACTGGATCACTTAAGAGAAAGCCAAACCTGTAATGAGAAGCCTGGAATTTGGGAGGGACAAGACCAAATTGGGCAGTCGTCTGTTTTACCTGGTCATCTTTGATTGTTCAAATTTTCAACCTGTTGTTTATGAATCATTTGAAAGCTCAGGTGATTTAAAAGAAATTTCAGAGTTTTGTAGTATACATTGGACCTGTAAAAATATTGCTCTTCAATACTGTGCAATGAAAGGTACAGCTTCCAATCTTCTGTGAATGTTATTTGTGATCTTTTAGATATGACCATGGGGGTCAGTACCTTATGGCTGGATGCTCTGATGGACATATGTTCATTGTGAATGCTAAACCCTCCAAGCAGTTTAAAGTCATCGGATATACAGGTAACTATTTCACAGATGCATACCATTTGTCAGCTGAGCTCCAAAATGATCCACAATTATTTTATTTACAAAGGCTAAGTTTTTGTTGTCCCCGGTTATCCCTGGACTGTCAAAGACATTCCCTAAGAAAGCAAGTAGCTTGTTGACCTAATGTTAGGTTTTCCCATGGTAGATAATGAGAAAAGCACCCTTCACACTGGCCTATCAGAGTCACCCAAGACAGGTACAGCACGGGGTTAGATACAGTGTAAAGTGTCAACCTCAATTTTACCTGCACCAGTGTAGCATTGTTGAATTTCCCTCTGAGTGTTGTGTTGTCTTGAAGCAAGCCTGAGCATTGTCTCCCTGCCTTGGCAATGTAATGTTTTACCTTATTCCCTTATTTTCTTGCCCAACAGAGATAAAAAGTGAAATTATGGGATGTTCTCTTGCATTTCACATGTCAAAGAAAATTGTGAATTGCCTGATACTGGCATGCCAGGCTAGAGATGACAAATCACATGGAGCCACTCAGCTGATTAGATTGGATCTTCCTGGAGATCTAACTTCAGGTAGGAAGAGAACCCAGTAGTGCTGGCTCAGCCAGGAATTATCAACACATTCTTGTTTGCTGTTTTCCATTTCTTTTCCTGTAATATGAACTCTGTTTCTAATCACTGGGGATTGCTTCCTTTATACCAGACATAGTTTGAGCGCTCCATTCAGCATCCTGACAATAAATTTATCAAGATATTGTACCAGATTAAAGCCCTCAACTTAACTCCTATTCTAGGGAATGATCTGGATTTCAACTCCCGGTCCACATCTACTTGAAAACACAATCTAAATATTATTGAACCTGTTCAGGTCTATTATCATTTGCACTGTTAACCTCTCATTTAAGATGCACGCAAACTACTGGTGAAGTAACCTTCTTTGCCAAACCATTAAAGAACAAAATCACAAGTTAGCAACAGTTAATAAAAACTATATAATGCTAGAAAACCTCAGCAGATCAGGCAACATCTATGAAGTTACCTTTCATCAGAACCAATTGTTAACCTCAGGATCATAATTAGCAGCATTTAAAATTAGGCAGGGAATCATCAAATAACAAACATTAAATAAAAACTGACAAATAGAGGAGCAGGATGGAAGAAGCTGTCATTATCACAACTGTTTAGCAGTATCAATTTACTGATTGCAAATTTACAGCTGTGATCAGTTTGTGAGAATAGTGAGATTAATTTACACAGAGATTGCTTACACAGTTGACAAAATTTGTCGAAATGGTTAAGGTCCAAATGTTGATGGTTTGTACTATTTTTAACAACACCTACAATCTTCTGTTTCTGAGCTGATGCGATGAAACTGGTTCCTTGTCCTCCTTGCGGAGCGATGTTGACTGTTATCCTCCTGAGATATTAGTCCAAATCATGGAGGTGATATCCATTCCCTCTCAGTATCTTTGACCCAGATGGGTTTATCCTATGTCTAGTTTCCGTAATCAGACTAACATGTTGAGATCTCAATTCCCTTTGTCTTGCAGTAACTTACACATGAAAATTTCTCCCGTCGCTCTGCTTCTAAGAAAACAATAATATTTTAAGTACTCTCTTCCTTTCTGTATACTTATAAAAGCTCTTGCAGTCTGTTTTTATGTCCCTGGCTAGGTTGCTGTTATATCCTACTGTTAACCCTTTTCCCCAACATTTTGATATGCCTTTTGATGATTTCTGAAACACTCCAAATCTTCAGATTTGCTACTGCTCTTTGTAATTAATAAATCATATCTTTTAATGTAATACTCTCCTTAACCTCCTTAGTAAGCCACGAATAGATCATTCTCTCAGTTTTTATTTTTCAATGTAATATATTTTGATGAATACTCTGAGTTTCTTTAAATGTTTCCGACTGTTCATGCACTGCCATACCTTTTAGTATATTTAACCAACCAACCTTAGCCAATTCACCCTCATACTATGTTATTGAGGTTAAATTTAAGGTTCTTGGTTCTAATTGAAATATGTCAGTTTCAGACTTCAAGTGGAATTCAATTGTGTTCTGATCCGTTTTTCCCATTGGCTCTTTTACTGTGGCATTCTTAATGAAACATACCTCATTACACAGTACTAGATCTAAGATAGCTTTATCCTGAGGTGATTCCATTATATAGTACTCCAGGAAGCTGTCCCAAAAAGCATTCCACAAGCTCATCTTCCAGATCACCTTCACCAATTGATCGGTATATTCTACATGAGAATTAAAGCCCATCACAGCAATTACGTTGCCTTTGTTACAAGCTCCATATAATAAGGAGCATTGGGGAGCAGGAAGATCCTATATTTGATGATGAGATAGTAGGAACTGCCGATGCTGGAGTCTGAGATAACAAGGTGTAGAGCTGGATGAACACAGCAGGTCAGGCAGCATCAGAGGAGCAGGAAAGCTGACGCTTCGGGTCTGGACCCTGCTCCAGCAATGACACCTGCTGGAATGTGTTGGACTTAATGGTGTTAATGTGTCCCTTAACTAGTTTTGTCAAGGCTGTCTTGTGATGAGAGGTTGAACAGGGTGGGCCTGTAATCTCTGGAGTTTAAAACAATGAGAGATGATCTTATTGAAACATATGGTTTTGATGGGCTTGAAAAGGTGGATGCTGAGATTTTTCTTCTTGTGAAAGAGTTTAAGACAGTTTAAAAATTAAGGGACTCCCATTTAAGATGAAGACAAGGAGGAATTTATTTTCTCAGATGATCATTAGTGTAAGGAATTTTCTACTCCAGAGAACAATGGGGATTGGATCATTAGATACAATCAAAGCTGACTGAGATAGACTTTTGATCTCAGGATTCTGGAGGAGCAGACAGCAAAGTGAAATGGAGTTAATGCTGTGCTCAGATCAACCATGATGGTTTTAGGTGGTGGACCAGGCTCAAGGGACTGAATGGCCTACTCCTGCTCCATTTATTAAATTCAGGCTTAATGTACCCAATGAATGCATGACATTGTTGCCCACGGCATCAATTCAGTTTAGGGAAAACAAATAGAAAAAGAAGCAGAAAAATACATTTATCTGTCCTGAGCTCTGCAATTTCACAGAGTCATAGAGGTCTACAGCATGGAAACAGGCCCTTCTGCCCAACTTGCCCATGCTGCCTAGTTTTCGCAATTTAAATTAGTCCCATTTGCCTGTGTTTGGCCCATGTCCCTCCATATCTATCCCAGCCACGTACTTGTCTAAATGTTTCTTAAATGATGAAATTGGACTCATTTAAACCACTACCTCTGGCAGCCCGTTCCAAACACTCACTACCATCTGTGAAAAAAATTCCCCTCTGGACCTTTTGTATCTCTCACCTTAAACCAATTCCATTTAGTTTTAGACTCCCCTACCATGGAGAAAAGCCATTGGCTATCTACCTTATCTGTGCTTTTCGTGATTTCATAGACCTCTATAAGGTCACCCCTCAGCCTCCTATGTTCCAGGGGAAAAAAATGTCCCAGCCTATCCAGCCTCTCCTTATAATTCAAACCTTCCAGTCCAGATAGCATCCTAGTAAATCTTTTCTGCACTCTTTCTAGTTTAATAATATCCTTTCCATAGTAGAGCAACCAGAACTGCGCGCAGTACCCTAAATGTGACCTCACAAATGTGTTGTACAGCTGCCAGAAGATGTCCCAACTCCTCTCCTGACTGATGAAAGAAGCATGCTGAAAGCCTTCTTCACTACCCTGTCTACCTGTGACTCCATTTCCAAGGAGCTATGAACCTGTACCCCTAGATTTCTTTGTTCTACAACATTACCTAGGGTTTTACCTGTGTAAATCCTGCCCTGGTTTGCCTTACCAAAATGCCACACCTTGCATTTATCTAAATTAAACTCCATCTGCTATTCCTCAGCCCACTGGCCCAGTTGATCAAGATCTTGCTGCATTCCCAGATAGCCTTCTTCACTGTCCGCTATACCACCAATCTTGGTGTCACCCACAAACTTACTAACCATACCTCCTAAATTCTCATCCAAATTATTTATATAAATGACGAACAACAGAGGACCCAGCACTGATCCCTGCGGCACACCGCTGGTCACAGGCATCCAGTCTAAAAAAACAACCTTTCTCCCACCACCATCCATCTTCTAGTGTCAAGCCAATTTTGTATCCAATTGGCTAGCTCTCCCTGGATCCCATGAGATTTAACCTTACTCAACAACATATTCAACAACCTCCTCCTTAAACCCCTTTCACTTCCTTTAAGAGATTTTAAGTCTTAGACACGAGCTTTAGTTACCTGCTTTAGTATTGCCTTCAGTATTGTGGTATCAGATTTTATTGTTTGATTCTGCTCTTGTGAAGCACTGTAGCCCACATTTATTATGTTAAAGGTGTTATATAGATGCAAGTAATGTTGTTGATGATCTGTAAGTGCCCAGTTAATCGCTCTATACAAATTCAGTAATTGGCTTGTACCTGTTAGTTGGGACTGTGGTTCGTGTTTGGAATATGCAATGTTTGACAACTTGTGCTGAATGAGCTCTGCATATTAATTTATTTTCCAGGTTCTTCTATATCTGTTGATCACCGTGGAATGATGAATGATGTTGCTATTTGGAAACAACACTGTCAAACCGAGTTGCCTCTGACCTCTGCAGTCCTGAACACCGACCAACACGTCTATGGGTACTGCACTCTGACAAGGACCATCTATAAATACAAGATCACCAGGGTACCTACGAAATGTATACACATTCTCTCTGCTTTCACCATCTCTCTCTTTCCACTCTCCCTCTCTTGCTCCCTCATTCTGCTCTCGCTGTCTGTAATAACTCAAGAAGCCCAACTGGCAAGGAACATCGTTTATTGTGGAACACCAAAATAGAGCCTCTAGATGTGGCATACATAGGCTAGTCCCAGCCTGGGACAGATAGTTCTGCAGACCCCACCCTTCGTGTCTTTATAGGTATTTTCTAATCAACCTGCTCAGAGATGTTAATACACACTTCCGGACCCAGATGGGTCTTGAACCTTGGCCGACTGGCTCAGAGGTAGAAATACTACTGTTATGCCACAAGAGTCTCTGGGTTGGCTTTATAAAGGATTTATCTGATGAGTTCCAGTTAGACAGGCTATTGGCTGTTACACTCACTCTGCTCTCACCCTCTCTCTTCACTCTCTCCACACTCTGGTCTCTCTTTGTCTCTATGCTCTCACTTCCCCTGTCAGTAAGCTTCCCAATAATATTTCCAGTGATCAATATTCTCTCTCTTTCCCTATCTTGAAACTGTATATTGTAGTTACCCAACAGCAGGGAATGGACCCCCTCAACCCTGTCACCAGCACCTTCCCCTACCTCTGCAGTTTCTTCTTGTCGTTTTCAGATGTGTTCCTCTTAATTGGCTGGCAGACAGGGTTTCCGAGCAAAGCTGGAAGGCTGATCAGAGATCTTTCATCTTTTAAAAGGGAGCTGGCTGCAATGCTAGATAACAAAGGGGGAGGCAACTTCTCTCCAGGAAGTTTTTACATCTTCAATTAAAAATTATTTTTTGCAGTCTGGGCTCTACTGTTGGGTGAGCCCTTCTGAAGGTTATTCATGGCTATCACTCCACCAAGGCAAGCATACAGCAAAAGTCTCAGATATGGTCCTGCCTGATCCCCCTGCCTTCCCCGCCTCCCAAAATCCCTTGCCTGTCATTGGGAAGCTGCCTCCAGAAGTCTAAACCTTCTCCTGCTGATTGTAGGAACTGGAGATCACATGGAAAATTACACCATGAATAGCCTCACCCGTCCCCACCCTCTCTCTGCCTCCCTGTCTCCTTTTATGTCTCTCTCCACTTTTGTCTTTCTTTTTCTGCCTGTTTTATTTCCCCCTGTTTCTCTCAGTCTCATAAATTAATTACGGATGACACAGAAGGAGGCCTATTTGGCCTGTCAAATCCATGCGGGTTCTCAATTCAGTAGTCCCAATTGATCTCCTGCTCTGTCCCAGTAGCCCTATGAAATAACTGCACAGAGGCCAGTATCACATCACCAAGTCACCCTTTATTTACTTGGGCACGGTACACTGGCTATGGCCAGCCAGCTCAGAGTCAGTCACCTGAACAGAGGAGATTCTCATCTCCTAGTTATATTAGTCAGCCAGGACTTTCCTGATTGGCCCAGGTTAACAACCTCAATCAATGACCTCGTTGAGGTCAACCTGGTTCCAATCACTACACTCTACCTCATCTAAAATGGCCATAATCTTTTACAACATCTTGTATATTATTTTTGTGACCCAACCAGACTTTTATAACCAGCATAACTTCCCTGCTTTTGTTGTCAGTATCTCTATTTATGAAGCCCAAGATCTCATATCACTCTCTCAATATATCTTGCTACTTTCTAGGATTTATGTACATGAACTCCCTTTCTAATACTGCACAGCCTGTAGAACTAGACCATGTTTTTTATTCCTCTTTTTGTATCTAAGATTTGTACCTAAGTTGGCGCCAAACGTGGCAACTTTGTAAACTTTACACTGTATACCTATACTTCTGCACTTGCGTACATGTCACAATAAAGGATATTCTAATATTCTAATTCTAATTCTAATTAAGTCCATAATACCGCACCCTGTTCCTTCTGCCAAGATGCAAAATCTCACACATCTGCCACTGTCTGTCTTTTCAGTCAACTTGTGGCAACCTCAATGTGCCATTTCTCTAACTTTGGTATGATGGGCAATTTTTAAAATTTATCTTTGTATTTCAAGATCAAAATCATTTACATGTAAGGAAGATAAGGTGGTCCTAGCACTTTGGACCTTGGGGATACCAGTGTCTGCCATGGTCCAGCGTGAAAAACAACTATTTACTACAACCTCCTTAATGCTTCTATCCTTAAAGACAATTTATTCAAGGTTACACTAATTTTCTTATTCCATGAGCCTCAATTTTGTTAACCAACCTCTTATGTGGTATTTTGTGAACCACTTCCTTAAAACCCATGCATACAATGTCCACCATGATCTCTTCTTCATACTTCTTTGTTACATTAAAAAAAATTTGCCAAACACAGTTTGGGTTTTGAAACTGTATGCTGGCTGTCCTTAATATACTCAGTCTCTTACTACTGTATCTGGATTAATACTTCAATGCTCTTTCAACAATCTGTCCGTTTCACTCTCTCTCTTTCTCCCACTAGGGCCTGTCCAGTGATACATTTAACCTGATCACTCAGGCTAAGGTTGAAGGCCACCAGCTAGGACCAGGATTCCTCTACCTCTCTGCAAATCAGCAGTGCTTGGCATCTGTGGCCAGGGATGGATTCATTCAGTTAAGAGATGCCAACAACCTGGTAAGTACCTGTTTGAGGGGATGCCTTTGGATCCATCAACCAGATATTGTCTGTATATGGAGGACTTGTTGGAAAAAATCAGCAAAAATACCATCATCGTAATAACTATTATGAATTTTGGATTAATTGTTAAAACTACCTCTCCTCCGTCTATTCCATTTCCTTCCATGCTTCATTGAGCTAGTTGTAGTCTTGGAATTAATGTTTGGTCTATTGAATTAATGTGAATCCAAGATTAGGCAGACCTGAGAACAGATGTTTTTATGCCAACAGAAAGAACTGGGTTTTATGTGCACAAAGCAAGTTAAATTGAAAAGGTTGTTAAAATGCATATGGCATCCCGGGCTTGCTTATTTTAGGAACAGAATGAAAAACACTGAGGCTATATTAAATCATTATAAAACACTCATTAGTCCTCAGCTAGAATACTGAGCTTAATTTGGGGACTGCACTTTAGAGCGCACATAGTGGAGATTTACCAGAATGGTGTCAGGAAATAGGGACTTCAGTTATTGTGGAGAGATTGGACAAACCGGAAAAGTTAAGGCAAGATTTAATAGAGGTATTCAAAATCATAAAAAGTTTTGATGGATAATTTCAGAGGATCTGTTTGTTTGAGTTTAAGTTGAAAAACTGCCTTCCTTGGAACCTTGGCAGTGGAGCTAAACAGATGGCAGATAAAATCCTGACTGTTTCCAATCCGCAGGGATTGCACTTTGAAACTCAGTGTCACTCTTATCGGTTGGGAGGAGTCAAATCTATCACATTGTCATTGGACTGTCGAACTGTTCTTACAACTGGCATCCAAGATGGTACCATAGTGTGTAACACCGAAAGGTAAGCATCACACAACAAAATTGGAGGATACCATTCAGTGCCTTGAGCTTGATCCATCATTCAATTAAATCATAGGGTTTAACAGAAGCATATATACTGCAATTGATTTATGATTCACAGATGAATTTAAGGAGGACAAAATAAAACAAAGAACTGAGGATGCTGGAGATCTGAAACATCCAAAAACGGAAATTTCCAGAAAAACTCTGGACTCGAAATGTTAATTCTTTTTTCTCTGCACAGATGCTACCAGACCATCTGAGTTTCTCCAGCAATTTCAGTTTCTGTGAATTTAACAGGAAACTAGCAAAGTATGTGAGGGAGAAAAGAACCAAACTGTAGGGTGATAAAGTGAGGTAAAGTAGGTTGAAGTAGGTCCATACAGAGAAGAAACACTAGCAAAGACCAGATTCAATAAGATCATTGAGGATCTTTTACCTCAGCCCTGTCGGTTTGCATGTCCTCATATCGCTTAATTTCTTAATTCAAAAACATATCAAAACCAGTCTTGAATATACTCAATTACTGAGCATCTACAGGCTCTGGTTAGAAACTTCCAAGGATTCACAGCCTATTGAAGGAAAAAAATTTCCTCAGCTCAGTCTCTATGTTGAAGCTTTGGGCTAAACTTTTGTTTCAGAGCCAGGTAATTTCCCAACTTTTCAAACCTGACTCAAGCAAAAATCCAAATATTCAGAGAAATTTCTCCAGAGCCAGGTTTGAGGAATCAGGAATTTACCTGGCTTTGAATCAAAAGTTTGGCCCAAAATCTCAAAATAAGTACTTAACATAACTGGAAAAAAGCCCCATATTTCCGAGATGGGTGTTTTGACCAGCTTACCTCAGCGTTCAACAACACCTGTCTCCTCTCTGTTTCGAGAAGTGGCAAGCACAACTCCTATTGACCCTCATTCACTGAAGCACAAATCCAAACATTCAGAGAAATTTTTCCTCAGAGGGTTGGGGTTATTAGGAGCTGTACCCGGTGAGGAAGGGTCACCAGACCTGAAACATTAACTCTGATTTCTCTTCACAGATGCTGCCAGACCTGCTGAGCTTTTCCAGCAACTTCTGTTTCTGTTTCTGATTTACAGCATCCACGGTTATTTTGGTTTTTTTTGAGGAGACAGGTGTTGTTGACTGCTGAGGTAGGCCAGTTAAAATGGCCATCTCAGAAATATGGGACATTTTCCCAGTTATATTAGAAACAGTAAGGCCTTCCAGCCCTCATCCTTACACCCTTTCAGTCCCACAGATACCCCACACTATGGCCCCTAATATCCTTCATGCCAACCTATGCCCCCTCATGCCCATGGCCCTTTATAGCCCCTATTCCAACTCATGTCATGTCAACCCATTCCTTCCCACACATCACTCTTTGCTCCTATATCATACATGTCAATTTAACTAGTATACACCAGGTGTAGATCTCAGGAGCCACGCTTAGATGAAATACAATAAAGTTCTAGGTATTTATTAGTAAAGCTTTTTATATTCAAAACATTTAAAATATTAAAATATTTTCATTGATAAAAACCCATCCAATACATTCAAATTCTTTCAAGCAGTTAACCTATTATAATCATTTGAATTCATTGTCCCACATTAACAACTCATTCTATTTTAGTAGACAAAAAACTAGCAGAGTCTGTGGAGAGAAATCAGAATAGCCTGTTTCCATGCTGTATGACTGTATAAATGAGCCACAAATTTACGGGTTTGTTAAGTGCATCCTCATTCCAACCTTGCTAAAAATGGTAGATGCCAGATATAGGGAGGCACTCTCAAACATAGAGTTCTGACACCATTTGGCTAAGACATGGAATCCTGTTGTTTCCATGAAAAATCTGGACTCCACAGTCAGAAGAAACAGCCTGCTAGCACCTACACCATTGAAACCCTTGAAAATTTGACATGTTTCATTAAGTCTACTCTCATTTTTCAGAAGTCTAGGGAGTATATGTCTAGTCCACTCAACATTTCCTTGCCTCCTCCTCCCAGGTTTCAAGAAATTGGTGCAAAAATTAGAAGGAAGTTGAGTTTCTTTTTCATTGAGAGGGCAGTTGAGGTAGAGGAAGAAACCTTCAACAGTTTAAGAATAAGTCTTATATGCACACTTGAGGTGGTGGAAAGTAGAAGTCTATGAAGCTAGATCTGGAGGCTGGCGTTAGACTGGAGTGCTGTTTCTTGGCTGGCATAGCCATGATGGCTTATTTGTATTCCATGAGCCTTTCTGTGTTTCTGTGATTGTTTTTGTGACAAAGACACCAGGTCCCTCCAAATGCCAACATTTCCCAAACTTGCCATTTAAAAAGATTGGAAAGAAAAATACCAAGTGTATTACTTCACAGTTCTTCACATTATACTTAATCTGCCATGTCCTTGCCTTTATACTTAAATTCTTGATCTCTTTGCATCTTCTTGACAGTTTACATTTCAATGTATCTTTGCATCATCAACAAATTTGATTTGATTCCAAAATCCTCAATATCCATGCCATTCTCAGTTTTGAAATTTTGTATTGATTCCCTGATGTAACAGCTTCAGTTTTCTGCTCCTCTTAATACAATATCACAACTCAATACACTCTCGCTATTTGTAAATCTGCCTTACCCTGGTGTCTCCAGCTACAGAAAACAGTTTTTACCCTGTCCTCCATTTAAATTAATGTTCTCTTGGCTGGGCATCAATCTGAACCTGGGCAAGCTTCTGAGTTTGTGGGGAGCAATGTGGGGGAAGGTTGGGGACTACATCATAGGGCATGGGTTGTGAGATCACGGTAGAAGGGTTCAGGGGGAGAAGCATATAGAATTTTCAGGGAAAACAGGACAGAGATTCGGAGGAGTGGTGTGGGGTTGTGGAGGAGGGTTGAGTACAGTGGTGTTAGGGGTAGTGTGGGTTGTGTTGGGGTAGTGGGGTCAGGGGAAGGAGTATGGGTGTTCAGGGAACAGCGCTGGGGGCTGGGAGGAGCGATCAATATAATCTCTCAGTCTGACATTCCTTTCTCCCTGTTCTGGTGATTAATATGTTTAGGTTTGACCCAGCAGGGTCAGAACGGAACAAGGCAGTGCTGGATTACAATCGCTCAATGATCTCAATGCTGGATCAGAGCTGTGTGACCGAAGACAAAGCCCTGATAGTGTTGGAACAGCAAAGAGAGAGCACAAAGGACAAGCTGGTGAGGAATTGTGTAGTGTTTAACAAGGCACAGCAACACCATCGTTACTGTCATTGTGATGCCTATCATTTACATTGAGACACTACAATCTGCATTACAACCCGAATATTCAGCACTGACAGAACCATACATCAACATAAACAAAGATTTAAATTTACATAGCATCCTTCAAAATAGTATAATTTCCCAACGCATTTACCTGGAGCTTAAATTAAACCAAATTTGGTACCACTTAAGTAAATATTAGGTTAGGCGATGATCAAAGAGGTTAGATTTAAAGAGCATCATAAAGGAAGAGAGAAAAAGGTGGAGATGTTTCGAGGGATTTGCAGAGTTTACAATCCAAATGACTGAAGGCACAGCCACCAGGAGAATGATAAACGTTAGGAATGCATGACAAACCAGAGCCAGAGAGTGTAGAGAGTTGTAGGTTGAAGGATGGCACAGAGCTAGGGAGGAATGAAAGTGATTGGAGGACAGTCATATTCAACAGTGGTTTTAATGTTTTTTAAAACCCACTGGTGTTAGAAATTGAAGTTTTAAAAACATACCCAGCGGGTAAATGCAGCCACTGGTTTCATAGGGAACAGGCTCTGATGAAGGGTCCACATCTAAATTATTATCCTGAGTTGATATGGTCTTTGCTGATAGTAAGAATCTAGCAGCGCTTTTCATTGAACATCTGATTTCCATTCTTTGAAGTTGATGACCAAGTATGAAATAGGTTTCTGTTCCTGTTCCCTGTTACAGAGTACACCAAGTTACTCCCCTTGACTTTCCAAAGACTGATCAGTGTATGAGCTCAGTTTCCACTCAAGAGCAAATGTGAGCTGCCTGAAATATTGAACATTGGAGCTCCTGTAGCACTCTTTGGAGGGGCAAAAGTGGTGCTTTGATTAACAATTTGACAAATAACACTAGTATGTAAAATAAATTAATTACCCATTCATTCATTTTCTGTTTGTGGGGTTCTCCTGGGCATATTGGTTAAGAGGCAAAGTAACCAACCAGCTGATACTCATACAGTATAAAATGTTGTTCCCCTTTGGGTTGGTAATTCTTTAAAATTCATCTGATTATACAAGGCGGAATGCTTTGACAAAATGTACTTTTCTTTCTGCAATGCTCTAGTTCTGTACTACCAAATGACTACTTATATTGATTAAAGTATGGAACAAGGGTTATGAGTGCAAATAAGCAGTTTGCTGGCTGGAAAGTTCTCTGAACATCAGAAAAAGGGAATAGTCTGCATTTATGTAACATCTTCTACAACCTCAGGTTGAATTGGAGTACTTTAAAGTGTAGTCTCAGTTATAAGATAGGGAATATGGTAGCCAATTTTCACATGCAGCATGCTCCAAATATAGCAACAAGATAACTCACTTGCTAATCTATTTCCTTATCCCACTGATATTGGACCAGAACACAATGAACAATACTGTATATCAATGCTTATTTGAACTGTATGTATTTTTTCTAGTAGAAATTGTACATTTGAATGCAACAGCTTCTAAATCTTTTTTCTTCTAAATGGGTCTTTAGGATGTTGCAGCAGATATTTCCCATCTCTCGCCTGGAATCTCCACACACTCCACTGGCACCTACAGCACGCCAAGTGTCAGCAGCTCCAAGAGCTACCAAAAGCTGGATGACAGTAGATTCCCAGAATCAACTTGGCTGGAAACAAAGATGGCAGAAGTAAGTCCTTGGATGAGAAGTTTAAAAAAAAAACTTGTATCTATCTATTTGGTGAAGTAGGAGAACAAATAAGCCTTCATTATCTGAACTACTCTGATATTTAAGAAAACTTTAAAACCTTCAGTAAAAAAAAAGAAGCGACACAGAAATCTGTACAGTACAGGGAGGCCCAGCAACTGGTGCATCTGAGAGGGTATATACCAGGCTGGGTCTGGTGCTGGTGTGTCTTTGTTTTAATGTAGGAGGACAGGCAAGATTGCTATCACTGGAAAATACTAACTGGGGTTGAATGGACCCCAGACTTCAAACACAAAGGGTTGTGCAAACTGAGGATCTGCCTCAGTTGCAGGGGAGCAATATAAAAAATCACAATCAAGTTACAATTGTATTTACATTTCAAAAGTGCTTAGAATCATTGAATCCCTTCAGTTCAGATAGAGTCCTTCAGTCCAGTTCATTCATGCCGACCAGGTACCCTAAATTAATCTAGTCCCATTTGACAGCATTTGGCCTATAGCCCTCTAAACCCTTCCTATTCAAATGATGTGCAGGCTAGGTTGATTAGCCATGGTAAATGTAAAGTGATGGGAATAGGATGGGGATGGATCTGGGTGGGATGCTCTTCGGAGGGTTAGTGCAGACTCAATTGGCTGTATGGCCTCTATCTGCACTGTAGGGATTCTATGATTCTAAGAACTTTCGAAACGTAAATACTATTGTAATATGAAAAGATTGAATGGAACTAACCAAAATCCCCAATTTATCTGACTGACAAAATTAGGTTAAATCACCCACCAGGTTTCTGTACTTAACAAAAAAAATTCTGTTTATTACATACAAATTGTCGTTGACCAATGGAAATTAGAAAATATGAATTCCTAAGTTATAACTATACAAGGTTAACTCTTCTCATTCTAAGATACATATAGATTGACAAGACATAGATTTTAAAGTTGGAGAAAGAAAGTCGTGGAAAAGTATACAATCCAATCATACCAATCCAGAATTTAGGATACTTTGAGTTGTTTCCTTCCCATTGCTTCCAGTTCCTTTCAGTTCTTTGTTGACGCCACGAGGCTGCTTGCACACTGATGCTGCCTTTCATTCTCTGGTTGAGAATTAGTTCTTTCAATATCTTTGAAGGTCTCTTTCAAACTTCAGCAGGAGATTTGAACAGCAAGTGGTTTATAGAGAAAAAGATTTTCTGTTACCTCCACACAGGGGAAAGAGAGAGAGAGAGAGAGGTTTTTGATGGTTACTGTTTGCAGACTAGGAGCTTCTTGCAGCACTGCTCACACACACAAAACTTAGTCACCTGATCAGCAGCCAATAAAAATATTGCAGTTGTCAGGCAGTCTCCCTTTAGCTCAGAACCCCTTCTGTCCATCTGGTCTACCCTCGCTCTCCCTGTTCCAGGGAAAGGCAACTTTGTACACGACACGCAATGTGCTCTAGCAAACATAACGTTTAAAACTGCAAACATTTCTTCTCAGTCTCCTTTGTTCAAAGTAGTATTTTCCCAGAAAATAAAAAATGTGGTCTTTATAACTAAGACACCCCAATATTGGTTATCATCACTGGCAGAATTGCACTTCCCAAGACAGAAAGAACAAAAGTGACAAAAAAAAATGGAAAAGCATCTTTAAGCAATAATTGGAGCTAACTGTTCATTTTTGCAGTTTTTTCTTGGGATTTGGGTATCAATAGCATTAATTGCCCAAATGTATTTACCCTGAGTTTGGTACAACAGAGTGACCTTGCTGGGCTGTTTCAAAGGGCAGCTAAGAGTCAACCATATTGCTGGGGGTCTGGAACTCAGACTATCTCTCCCATCTACTCTAATGACTGTCATTAGAGAGCCACTGCATAGGAATCTGCACCACTACTAATACAATCAAAGCCATCCAGAACCTTAAACTGTGGTGCTTTTTGTGACAGCACATAGGGTGTCAAGTCAATGTGAGTGTGTAGTGAATTCCCATCTGAACTGACTCTCATTCAGATAGAATTTCATAATGAACCCAGTTCCCGAAATCTCCCTTTGTACCCCTGCCCCAGAATTTGAACTATTTAATTGAAAGACCATCCATCCTGTTCTATTTGGCATTGAGGTTTTCTGTACAGGCTGCTGCTACACACCCTCTACTTCACCCTCAGTCAGTCTGCACACACTGTGGCATTCCATCCTTCCCTCTGGAGTTGGCATGGACCTCCAGTGTGAGGCTCTCTACATGGGTGACCAGCAGAATTTGGTAAAGATGGTGGTAAATGTACCAGTCCCATGCAATAGGAGGTTAAAAGGTTCACCGACTTCTACGCTAGCTGCTGTCTGAAGGGTCTGTTTCTTAATTTTTGGTTGCACTTCAGGTCTATGCTCCTAATCTTTGGCTGCCCAGCATGGAGGTGGGTGTCTTGGGTCTGCTTCTAGGACTGCCCAAGCTGAGCATGAACAGATGCAGGTACCAGGCCATAGAAAGGATTATTAGGCTTGACTGGCTACCTCTCTTCCATGGTCATGTCTGCACTCAGGTGGCCCTAGATCAATACCATGCAGTGTTCACTGGAACACCTGAGGCCTTCTGAAATCAATGGGAATGACAAGGGATGAAATGCTTCACCTCTGCTCAAAGTCAGATTTTAATTTGAATTTACTAAGATTCTTTTCACAATTTTTTTTGACAGTGCTCCTTTAAGGGGCTGTTTACTGGTTAATTTTATTTTATTAGTTTTATTTTGGTTTGCAAAAGAGTCTGGACCAGTCCAGGTAAGGACAGTAGGTTACCTTCCCTAAGTGTCTGATGAACCAGTTGCATTTTTAAGGCAATCATGAGACCAACATTTCATTGCGAGAGTTTATTTATAAAGGACACAAAACCCTCATGGATTTGAACTTGCATCGCCTGGATTCTCTGTCCAGGTCTCTGGTTTACTATAACTAGTGACAAACTACCATACCGTGGAGGCATAAAAACAGCACATTTTGTTGCACAAGCTTTGGATGCTGCACATCCCAGGATACTGTAAGCTATTGGTGTATGTTCTTTGATGCTGGTTGGAAATAGTTGATAATGAGATTGTTAAATCGTTTTTTTTTCCAGGCAGTTGAAAAGGACAATCGCAAGCACATGGATGCCAAAGCTAAGCTAAAACAAGGAATCAAAAAGCTTCGTACAACGGTGAGCAACCTGCCAATAAACTGAATGCTCTGATACAAGAGCCAGTATTTCATTCCTTGTGTCTCATCCTCATAAAACTGTTCAGTGGAACTAAGTTTATTAGAGATAGTAGGAACTGCAGATGCTGGAGA